CCTAATATACTAATTCACATTAATCCTTGAGGCTGTTTCATCTCTCGCAGTCCTTAAAATAAAAGTTAAACGTAAATCTTCAATAAGAATTTAATCAACTATTTCCTAACAATAAATTTATATTCTACTCTTATTCGCCGAATTTTTAAATTATTTTAAAATCTAAAATATCAGTCTAAGTTTCAAAATTCAAATGGTTTTTAGTTTACCAATAACTTCTAAATATAAAATTCCTAATTATCACCTTTAAATAACTAAACACAATTATATCTTATCTACTATGCATGTTACCTTTGTCTTTAATTTTAGATTTTATATTCCTACATAAACCTAATCTTATCAAAATAATTTCTCTTTTTCAACCTACATTTTAAATATCATCTTGTCAAATTCATATTTTTCTTACCCCTTTTCCGTTTTGAATTTCTTTCTTTTGTATGGAGTTTGGTTGGCATTAGACTGAAGGTTGTAAAGGTTCTGTCGCATCCTCTCTCCAACACCATTGTCACAATGAGGCGATTGTCATTGTGCATCAAAACCTAAATATAAAAAGAAATATATATATAAAAAAGAAATTAATAATAATTAGGAATGTTGAAAGTGGGACTTTTGAAACCTAAAAATAAAAATAGAAAACAAATATATATATAAAAAAGAAATTAATAATAATTAGGACGAAATCATAAAATCAACTTTAAGTCTTTATTCAAAATTATAACATTATCAAATTAACAAAATTATAATAGTAAAAATTGTCACAACGACAGGTTGTCATTGTGCATCGAAATCTAAATATAAAATAGAAAACAAATATATATATGAAAAGGAAATTAATAATAATTAGGAATCACGAAATCATAAAATCAATTTTAATCCTTTATTTAAAATTATAACATTATCAAATTAACAAAATTATAATAGTAAAAATTATAATAGTAAAAATCATAAAAATAGAAAATAAAAAAAAAAATATAATTAAAAAAGTTAATGATCTAAAAAAAATCAAAGATCATTTGTATCGTAAAAATTTTCCTTTTTATACTCTTTTCAATCTTCTTATAACTAATCATAAATATTCAAATATAATCTTTTTATCACGCGTTATAACAATAAATCCACAAGAATTCTTTATGCAAATTACATATAAAGTACAACAAAATCCAAAAGAAATCTTTATGCAAATTAAATCTAACATTTACAACAAAAATCATAAAAAAGAAAAAGAAAATAAAAATAAAATACAAAAAAATTAATAAAATAAAAAAAAGATAATTTGTATCGTAAAAATTGGCCTTTTTATACTCTTAATCTTCTTATAATCATAACTATTCAAATATAATCTTTTTATCACGCGTTATAACAATAAATCCACAAGAATTCTTTATGCAAATTACATATAAAGTACAACAAAATCCAAAAGAAATCTTTATGCAAATTAAATCTAACATTTACAACAATAATAATACTATAATAAAAGTATTAATTTTTACAGCAATAAATTTTGTCCTATTTCATCTCAAAATTTAATAGATAACCCCTCAAAAAATTTATACTACCCCCATTAGAGCAGCTTACCCCATACCCCCTTAAAAAAATAGGATGCAAACAGTTCCTACCCCTCCCGCTCATGTAGACGCTGTTTCTAGAACAGCCTCGCTTGCACGTTCCACCATGATTGAAGCCGAACCGTCTTCTAGCAAAAGTGAAGAGGAACAAAGAAACGTCACTTCGAGATCCAGGGCCCCTACAATGTCCGTCGCCCAAGGCAGCCTCACGCCTGACCAAAAGGTAGCCAAACGCCTGTGGAAAGGCCTTACCTCGGACCTTAAGGAGCCCAAATGCAAGGACAACGACAGGGATAGGCACGAAGCATATCAGACATGAGTATTTGCGAAGCCTTGATTGACAGGGTCATATCATTACAATGGCCATACATTGGAATGATCCACAGCCCGTGCCAACGACATGTCCTTCTAAGAAAGGTATATGGACGCTCAAGAAATCAAGGCCATCCCTGACCGGCCTTTTCTTGACAAGGGACGACCCAGCCGAGCCGCTTCCGTTCATCGTCGTCCCATGAAGGAAGCGACCACTACAAGGGGTAAGAAAAGGAAGTAAACCCCTTGAAGGAGAAAACAATATACCCCATCCTTCCTTTCCTTCTCTTTCTCCCTCCTACACTCACAACTTCCCTCCTTCTAATCCTCTCCTAATACCCAAAGGCCCTTTTCATGGCTACCAACACTGGTCAATGTAGATGTTCAGATCCCGGTGAACGGGCTTCCGAACAGGAATGGCAGAACAGTGCAGTTCCCAATCTGGCTCAAAACGGTAATGTTTAACTTAGGGAACTGAGGAGTCAACTAATCTCGCCCGATGAAGGATCCGACGGAGAAGAAAACATAACCATTTCCCCTCCGCCGCCGGAAGCCGCTATCGTCATTCGCCTGCCCGAATCCTCATTTAATGTGCAATGTGGTTTCATTAAAGTCAGAGGATTCCGGAATCCAGGAATGGAGGATTGGCAACCAGTCCACAGTGTCCTGGTCTTCTCCGCGGTCTGATACGGAGGAGGAAGCCTCATATATCGTGGAGTCCCTCGAAAGCATGCTCTCAAGGGAAACCGACGATTCTAGTGCGCCCCAGGCGGGTTCGGTAGCCATCCCTCCGATCAATGGTATCCTTCAAGGTATCATTCGTGATGACGGCAACATACTTCCCATAGATGCAGCCTTCGAAGGCCACCTCATCCTGAACCTTGCCGAGGCTCGCAGTGGGGCCCTTCATGTCCCCGTTTACGAAAGCTATAGCCAAAAGGGGATTCAGACCCAGACTGAACCAGCTACGCATAGCTAACGACGGGAAAAGGTACTTCCGCCATATCCGCTCTAGCGAACCTGATGGCAGCCAACTCTTAGCCACAGGTGTAATCGAGGTTGGAGACAATGACCAAATTTGCTCTCCAATATATGTGATTCCCAAGTCGGATGGCTCATCCAGAGTGATTAGCGACTTCTCCGAAATATATATGAACTTCCTGCACTATCCATTCCGACTGAAATCTATCCCGCTAATGTCATCAAATCTCGAAAAGGCGAAGTTTGCATGTAAAATTGACATCAAATCGGCTTTCTTTTCGACCCTCTCGCAGCCCAAGTCCGCCGCTTCTTCGGTGTCCGTTTCTAGGGAGTCAAATACCGATATAAAGTACTTCCCATGGGAGCTTCATTCAGCCCATACTGTCTCCAGAGCATTATTCTGTATGCATGTGCCAAGACCGTTAGAAAAGCCTCCTACAACGTCTATCTGGACGACATCCTCATCTATAGGGACAATTTCAATGTCAAGTGGTCCACAAGATCGCTTAGATGTACTCGAACGATGCGGACTACAAATTTCTCTGAATAAGTTAGTCCTCGACCTTACGTCACACATCACTTATCTCGGAGTCCCCATAGATTTAGACGCTAAGACCACTATGGCCGATAACTCCAGATGTCTAGAAATCTTTCGTAATCAACCAACATCTGGACTAAGGTCGACTGCTTACCGCCCGGGTCCTCGGAGTAGTACTACTTCGCTTATACCATCATCGGGATGTCAAGGCTTTTCTCGCTTTACTGCACTACAATGAGCAATAGCACACTCATTCCGGTAGTGGACACCTATCTTGCCTTCAAAAAAGCGGAGGTAATCATCGATTTACTCCAACACCTCATTAGGCTGAAATCTCACGCCGCCAACCCTCTGTATGTCGATGCATCCAATGACTTCATCGGACTATCCTTCTGGGTGTACAACAATATGTCGGTAGTCTTTGCTGAAGCAGCACTCCTGTTTTGAATTTCAATGCACTTCCGCGCACATCAACGCTAAGAGAGTTATAACCGTCTGCGTCGGAGCCCTTTTTGCCATAAGCAAAAAGGGTATATCACCGATTATCTTCACGGTCTCTACTTTGTCCTACTCAGGGCGGATCTAGGTCCCCCGCGATCGAGATTGCTATCATCCAAATCCTGGACAAACTCGGACTCCCCAGTTTCGCGGTCGTATGCAACATCCAATGGATCTCTACGGACATCAAGACACTGGATCGGGGACCGTGCTAAATTAGACCTATTCTATCAACGACGCTATCTAACAAGTCGAAGCCAACGCCTCTCTCTCTTTGGATCAGAAACCGTCCACACCCCCTCGCTAATCTCACGAATGTCCGAACCCTCTACTACAACCTGGGCCCTTGAACATTCTTGGTCAATTCGTTAGATCTAACGCTTTAAAAACGAAAAATTCCGCAGTAATTTATATTAAGAACGATGCATCCCCATGCAAGATATATATCTCTAATCTATATCGCATTTTAAAATAACAATATGCCCTTCTTGGTATATGATAAAATCAGCCAGATTTATTGGTTTTTATGGCTTTTGAATCTGGATGCTTTATTGATAATAAATTCGAAAATTTTGGATACAAGGCAAATCAAAAACAAAGTATAAGTAATTGGTAAACGAATATATAAAATACAATCACAGAAAAGAAAACAGCAATGAGTATGTTATTTAAAATGCAATATATATATATATATTTTGCATGGGGATGCATCGTTCTTAACATTAATTGCTGTAGAATTTTTCGGTTTTAAGGCGTTAGATCTAACGAATTGATCGAGTGTTCAAGGGCCCAGGTTGTAGTAGAGGATTTTGACATTCCTGAGATTAGCGAGGGGGTGTGGACATTTTCTGATCCAAAGAGAAGGCGTTGGCTTTGACTTGTTGGATATAACAAATTTCGAAGTTATGCCAATTTATAGAAAAATATTTTAATTCGTAAATAACGCTGTCTTTTAATTTCGCGTTTTAACCGCTTTAAATGGTCATAACTAATCCTAAAATGAGGGTAAGATCATCTGCTTTTAGATGTCTGCAAAAACATAGTTAAGCTTTAGTTTTTCACAATTATTCTTGAATTTTAATTTTAAATGCCCCATGTTATACTAAATGAACGAATTATCCAGGAGGAAATTCTCGAATTTATATGGAGAAGAAATGAATAATTCAGAAGCCAAAAAACTTCATAAAGGTATAGAAACTATCAGAAATAATATTAATAAACTAATTCATTACTTCAAATCTGCTAAGGCGTCAAAATGTGCCAACATTTAGGGATAAATTCAGTTTGCAACAAATTATCAGAGAAAATCACGGATCCAATCTGTTGTGATATTCAAATGAGTTAAAGAAAAATGAATAAAAAAGATTTATTCAGATTAGATAAAGTTCAAGATTATTTAAGTTTGTTGTTTAAACACCATGTAAATGAGTGTTTGTTATGAAAAAAGAAAGATATATATGTAATTTTTTATATAATTATGCGTGGTTTTTCTTTCATTTTTTTGGAAGAACGCACTTTTTATTTTTTCACTTATTTCTTATTTTTATTTACTTTTACTTTTTCTTATATTAATTTTATTTTTCTTTTAATTTTTGTTAATTTTTCTTTTTATGTTAATTTATAATTGATTAATTTATATATAATTTAATAAAGAAATTAGAATTTGTATTTAATTTTAATTTTCTTCTATTTTATTTTTAGATACAAATCTTGTTTTCTACACAATCTTATTTAACTCAAAAATTAAGTGTTGATACAAAAAAAGACTTAATCTATCTCTACCTGCAATAGAATGATTCATGGTTTGGACCTTAAGTTTTATAAAGTGATTTTATACCGTAACTGTACTTTTTGGTTTAATGATATTGATAAGCTAAGAAAAAAAAATCTCTATTAGCAATTAACCAAAGAAGAAACGATACTATTTTGCAAAGAAATATAAAGATGGGCCTTACCGAATGGATAAGAGTAGCTTTTGGCCACGTGTCTAAGTTAATATTGAAATTTGAGAGTATTCGCAATAATGTGGTACGCAAGGCACATAAGGCATTACATCCTGATAAATCTAAAATGGTTGAGAAAAATCTAAGCACTACAAGGTAATGTTGTTAGATGGCTCGATTTTAGCCGATTTTTAAAAACGACTAAACAATATTTTAGCCAGAAAAATATTGTTTGTCCTCTAGATTTCATTAATATATGTCCAAACCTGTGCGATCTATGAGCAAAATCGTCAGGTTAGCGTAATATTTTTCTGGCTAAAATATTGAGTTAGCCGTTTTTTTTAATAGGCTCAAATCGAGCCATTTAATAACACTACTGCCAGGCATTTTTCGATGTGCTGCCTAGAAGGCTTTAATACTCTTAAAGCTAAAAGAGACGTTTTCATGGACCCATATTACTAAGTGTATCCAAAAATCAAAATAATAATTTTGTTTATGCAATAATTCTTGACATATTCAACCCTTTTTTAAAACAAATTATTGTTTATATTACCAATTGTATTGTATTTAATATTCTAATTTTGACAATAAATATAATATCTCACCCTATATTAATAGAGCTGCCAAAAAGTAAAAACTGACGTTATTTTTGCTTTTGGGTAATAGATTTTTAAAATCTTGGATCAAGTAGCTTAGTTTTTAAAGTATTTTAAATAATTTTAATTTGTAAAAATATAAAATAACAAAATAATATATTATAATATAAAATAAACGAAAATACTTGGAGATCGGTAATTTCAAAACTTATTAAGTTTGTTTGGCATATTTCCTTTAGGGAAATAATATTGTAGGTATAAGATTCATAGATTTAAATTGTTTTGTATTTTATTGCAATAAACCTGAATATATTGTAGATTCCTTTTGGGCGGAAAGAAATTCTATATATTCTTTGTTCTTTGAGCGTGTATATAGTTAGTAATGTGAGGATCATTTTGAACATTTTGATATTTTAATTCTTTTAAAGATTATTAATAATCAGTTTTGACTAAAAAGTACAGTATTCATTTTAAGATATTTTCAATATTACTATTTTACGGTGCCAACTAAACATTATAGCCCTAAAATTTATTCTTTCTCCTTATGAATATAATTTGACCGAAAACAATTTTGAAAATATTTTAATTGTATACCGCTTAATTTTGTTTTTTGAGAATAGTGATAAAATTTAAATAATTTTCCTTTTATAATTATAACAAATTTAAACCGGTTTTTAAATGTTCGAACCGAACCAATATTATTACTTTTTTGCGAACCGAACCTGAACCATGAACCGTTATTTTTTCTGAACCTAAACCGATATTCGTTACGGTTTGAATCCTTGATTTATTTCAAATTTTATTGAAGAGCTTTACCCCAATTTCCGGATTTTGGCCGGGTCAGGTATTTTAAAAATAATTTTGGTTATTTAGCCTTTTATTTATATTATCAACTCATATTCTTTTGAATAATTATTTAGTGAAATATTGGCATAATTTATACATATTTTGGGAAGGGGGGGGGAGTGTAAGAGGATAATTCATAATTTTATTCCCTCAAAATGATATTTACGAAGAAAAGCAAATTTCAGAAATTGGCTACGTTTATGCTATGCGATGTCTACTTAAATAGGGGCAGTGACTATTTATCAGGGACCCGGAATGAACCGTACCGTTAAACCATTATAAACCGTTATAAATATCTGAACCATAACCGTAACCGAACTGATATAAATATTCTTTGAAGGAGTAAAAAGAACCTTTATAAAAAATAACCGGTTCAGTTTTTACATTTAAAAATGGAAATAATTTGAATATCAAGAATTATATAAACTTGCTCTTATAGTACTGGAGGTTCCTGCAACACAAGTTTCTGTAGAAAGGTTTGTGTTATCGTCACAAGGAACAAAAAGGAATCCATTTATATTAGAAAATATTATACGTTCAAATAATATATTTAAAAATGAGTTATTTTTAATTTTATATATAATTCATAGATGCTTATAATAAAAATAAATTAGAAGATAGACTTGCTTCAATAAAAAAAAATTTCTAACCGTAATGAACCTTTATAAATCTTTATAAATCTTTATAATTAGCTGAACCGAACCTATATAAATTTCTTCTTAAGAACCGTAACCAAACTGAACCGTTATAAATAACGGTTCGGGTCCCTGCTATTTATCTCTATATAATAGCTATTATTAATGCAAGATAGATAATGTAATATCTAATTTGTAATATAAATTTTACTCCATATTTCACTATGAATAAATTAAGAATAAACATTTAAATTAAATATTAGAATTAAAAAATAAAAACATATCCATAACATAAATATATTTCATAAAAATGAAATGACTAAATAATAATATATACGAGTAATAATTGAAATAAATAATAGTTTTAGAAATATGTAAAATTTACCTGAACTAATAAGAATCGACAGGGTTCAATAATCTTAAAAAAATAGCCCCCACCTCCACCCTGAATTTTACTGAGAGGATTTATGGTCTTGTTAAGGACCCTTTTTGGTCCAGGTTTAAACTCGTTATATTTATATAATTAAAAATTCGCTTATAAAATTAGTAAATATACAGAAAAATCGAGAAAAATGTTAAGAATCATTTTAAAAATCCAATATATTTTAATATTTTTTATTCAAGGATAAAATATTTTAATACTATTTAGAGATGAGATGACTCTTTTACTCGCACTGACCTTAACCATAATTTAGTATAAGGAATTTGGTGTAAAAACTGGCAGGGGCGTCACTAGCCTTTACAATCTCGGTGGGCTCGACTAAAAAAAATTGGATGGGGGGTGGGCTTCTTACCCCATAACCCCTATTTGGGCCTTTGGCCCGGTTTTATATTAATATATTATACTTATCTAATTAAAATTTGCAAAGTCTGTACAATTATTCTGAATTTCATAGTTTGTCATTTATTACGCATACAAATAAAGTAAAACAATACAAGACATTTCTAAAGATAATATCCTTTAATACAAATATTTATCCATTTATTGCAAAATTAAATATTTTCGATTGCGGGTATAAAAAAAACTAGTGCTGTAAACATTTTTAAAAAAATTGAACGCGTTCGCGTTCAACGTTCATTGACAAAAATCGAACGCGTTCACGTTCAAATTCAAAAAAAGGAACGCGTTCAAGTTCATGAACGCGTTCATGCGTTCAAAATATTATAAATTTTTTTTTTAAAATTTAATATAAATAAATGCCTTATATTTTTCAACACAATATATTAGCCATGATAAAAAAATAATAGTTTTATTTTGATAATATAATTATAAATACAATATAATAGAGCGATAAAAAAATAAATTTATAAATTTTTTTTCTTAAATACTAATATTAAAATGCCTTATTATAATTAACTATATATATATATATTGTGTAATTATTTTTACTTAGAACAATTAAAATAAATTATTAACTGGCTATATAGTTGTACATATTATATAATATAAAATAAAATAATTAATGTTACAATCAGATGTCTTTTTAAATTGGAGCTTGAAGATGTTGACACTGATATAATACTTTTTGGACACATTTTACATTTGGTAACTATTGAATTACCTTTTGATTTTAAAACAGTAAAATATTTTTGATATTTGGGCCATGGTAATTCTAATTCATCTAATATTTAATTTTGATTTTCAGAATCTGATGATGAAATATTTATATCCATGCAAATGCTAATCTATTAAATTAAAATATAAAATATTCAAATTAATAAACTTTAATCTTATCTTCTCTAGCAGTAGCACGTTATGGTACGTTAATTGCAATATGAAAGAGGAAAAAGTAAAAACAGCTGATTAAAAATTATAAGACTTTTTTGTTAAAAAATTGGATTAAATATTAATTTTTCAAATAAATAAAAATATAAGACTTTTTTGTTAAAAAATGCGGATTAATATTAATTTTTCAAATAAATAAAAATAAAAAGTGTTTATAAAATTGAACGAACGTAAAATTGAACGCGTTCATCAAAGAAAAGGAACGCGTTCACGTTCAAAGTTCGTCAAAAAAAAAGGAACGCCGTTCATCACCTTTTCTCAAAAAAACGAACTTCGTTCACGAACGCGTTCATTTTGAACGCGTTCGTTTACAACACTAAAAAAAACTAAAGAATTACAAGTGATAAAAAAGGTTAATTAATTCATACACTGCCTCATTTGATAATGGTTTTTAAAAACCATACAGGGCATTATAATCCTTAGCAACCTACATTGACAAAAGGTCATGAAACGAATATAACGTTGTGCTATGATTTTATAATGTTTTATATAGTGGACTAATAAGGAAAATTTGTAGACCTAACCAAATCAATAATACTTGAAGAAGAGAATATAAACGACTAGCCCAAATCATAAAACTATATGGTAGTTAGAGCGTCCTCTTAGATGACATTATGGAAGCTAAATAAGTAATCGATAAAATTATTGTGAGATATTAAATTTATAAAAAATTATCTTCCATTTTTAATAATATATAAATGATTAGACAGTTGGCTGTTATTGCTTATCTAAATTATGCAATCAAATGCTCTCAGCAGCAGGACTAATAATCTTAAATTATATACCCATACAAATAATAGACTGATTAATTTTCAGTCATAGTCATGACACTCACGATAAAAATTCACATCAGAATTTATTATGTTAGATAAATTAATAAAACATAAATATTAAAAATCTTTAGAAGAAATAATTATGCAAATGTATTGAAGCCTTACGTTATTTATACGGTAAGGATGCCATATTATTGATTAGCACCACATTTTTCTTAAATTTGCACTTCATTTTTTAATAATTAGCTTATCACTCATTTAAACAAATGCATTATATTTAAATGGCTTTCATGCAAAATTTTAGCGCTTATTTTAAATAAATATTATTTCTCTTTTAGCATTAAATCATTTTATTATTACAATTTCCTTCTACGCCTTGAGAAAAAATGAATGGTAGCAGATTCGCATAAAAGTATATAAAAAAATACTGAAATTCAATAGAACATTTATTTTTGTATTGATTTTTGAGTATATAAATAGTTGTGTTTATTTTACACTTGTATCATTTTAAATTTGAAAAAAAAAATGCAAAACCAAAAGATAAACTTTGTAAAAATATTTTTCTATCTTTTATGACAAGAAAATCTAAAAAATGAAAACTTTAGATTGGAATTTTTTTTGTTATAAGGGGGGGGGACATTTTAATTAGATTTTGCGTACATGTAAGATATTGTTTTAATTAGCAAATTCCTGTTTTTATAACTGAATATGGTAGAACGAAGCAGGGACGTCATTCGCCATTACAATCTCAGGGTGCTCAAAAAAAATTTTAAAGTTATTTTTAAATTTTAGCTAACATTATTTAAAATTACCTTTTTTAAATTTACTTTTTTTTTAGTCGTATAAAAAAATTCAAAATTTTGAGGTGACTTTTTTTCAGGGGGCTCGAGCCTTAGCGCCCCATTCCAAATGATGCTATTGGAAAGAATATATAAATGTATGGTATAATCCTGTCGAAGGCCGGGTATAAACGGCAAATATAAATATGGGAACAAAACCACCCATAAATTATATATAGAGGTAAAAAAAATTATAGACGCTAGTTTTAAAATAAATTAACTCCTTTTTTGCATCCTTTTGCAAAAGACTAGCAGCGCCCCTTATAGAAAGATATTGAATCCGTTAATGGCGGGAGTAATTATTATTATTATTGTTTATGATCACATTCAACTTTAATATAAATGCTAAATTCAACATATATTAATTTGTAATGATATTATATAATTCACATTGAATTGTCATTGAGGATAAGTTATAAAAATATAGATAAAAAAAAATTGTCTATAACTAGTAACACAAATTTTTAATATTTATTTTATGTATAGAGAGAAAATTTTTTATTGTAGATGTTTAAAATACGTTAAGATAATAGTCAAAATCGCTTGCGCGAAAAAACGCATTTTGTTAAAATCTACAATGGCATAATGTTAAAATATATTTTTAAATACAAATCGGTTAATTGCTAAATAACGGTTAATTGCTAAATATCGGTCAAATGCAAAAAAATTTAAGACAAATTTCTCTGTTAACAACGTTATTTTTATCTGATAAATGGGTGATTTTTGAATTGGAGATTAGCACTAAATAATTTTAAAAAAAATATTTTAGAATTTACACTAAACCTAAAATGCTTAAATTGTTATCATTAAAATTAATTTATGGAGTCGAAAAGATGACAATGTCTTACAAATAAACCACCATCACAGCAACTAAGTAAATTAGCTTTCCGAAAACAGAGGCAGTTTAGGCTTGCATCGATATGGAGCACAAATTGTAGCCTGAATGGCCTTGTTATGTTAGAAAACGATAGCATTTACAGCAAAACATTTAGAGAGGTAGTTTTAAATTCTGCAGAGATTTAGAAAAAGACAAGATATTAATTTCACACAATTTACAATAAAAGGGAGGGCGCCGATCTTAGAAAGTTAATTTTTTTATGAATAATAAGATTTTGTTAGTTTTCTAGAAAGGCATTATAGTGCAGAAAATGATTACCTGAACGATGTTATAAAAGTTACCCGAATCTGTAACAAAAGCACTGCTATAAATGGATATGACATCTTTATGCATATGCTAATTTGAAACCAGGAATTATATAAGAAGGCTAGAAGTCATTGTAGAAGACCTATTTAAACATTCTTTATAAATTATTTCAAATTAATAAATTTCAATGAAGAATTATATTGTGTTACCATATATACAAAATTTCTACTTTATATAATATTATTTTGGAATATAAATTTAAAAATTAAACATTTTATTATTCATCCTGCAATAGATATAATAAATTTGATATCTTTTCTTCTCTTTTTTTACGTGTTTTTAGGAAAGCTATTTATTTCATTTTCGAAAAACAGTCTTGAGTTAAATTTTTAATACAAGTATATTTTTGATATTATTACAAACTACTATTATTTTAAGATATAATATACCAAGGTGGTGCGACAATTTATAAAATCTTAATTGTTTCATCATATTATTCTGGTCCTTATTTTATAGTTAGAAAACGTTTCATTTCTAATATGGCATTGCCGTATAAATAACTCCAGGCTTCAATATATTTGTATAATTATTCCTTCCAAAGATTTTTAGTGTTTTTATTTGAAAAGAATAAGGATGGTGACGATATGGCGCGAGGTTCGAGTCAGTAAAAATATATTTTATTAACTAACTTCTTTTTCTTTTCTTAAGGTATAAATACATTTTCTAAAATATAAATTAGAATATAAACGAAATACAAAAAAGTAAAATAATATTAAAAAAGTAAGGTTACGCCGTTTATAAAATAAAATTAGATTATAACAAAAAATAAAATTTATATTGTAATTAGAATAATGCAACATTATTTTATCAATTCCAACATACAACATAATAAATTCTGATATTAGTTTACATCGTGAGTGTCATGGCTATTACTGCAAATTAACCAGCATCTATTATTTGTGTTGCTATGTAATTTGAGATTATTACTATACGGCTGAGAGCATATAATTGCATATTTTAGATAAACAATAATGGTCAACTGTGTAGTGGTTTATATATCATTTAAAATGGAAGATAATCTTTTAGAAATTTAATACCTCACATTTTCTCGATTGCTTATCTAGCTTCCATCATGTCATCTATGAGGAAGCTCTAACCACCATATAGTTTTATGATTTGGATTGGTCGTTTATACTTTCTCCTTCAAAAATTGTTGATTGGGTTTAGGCCAATAAATTTTTCCTTATTAGTCCATTCTATAAAACATTTTCTAAAATGGTAACAGAGAGCTATACTAGTTTGATAACCTCTTGTCAATGTAAGTTGCTAAGAATTATATTATTGCATTATGTCGTTTTTTATATGCCAGTTTATTTTGTATACATAATATAAAAAATGACAAAATATGAAAATCAGAATAATTGTTCATAGTTATAGCAAATTGTAAAAAGTATAATACATCAATATAAAACCCGGCCGAATGTCGGGTAAAAGCGGAAGTATGGGGGGCGAAGCCCCCATAAAATTTTTTTTAGTTGAGCCTCCTGAGATTGTAAGGGCTAGCGACGCCCCTTATAAAAGGTCATTCGAATATTATTATATATTATTTTAATTAATATTATAATTTATTTTAATTAATATTGTAATTTTTTTTTAAGATTAATTTTATATTATATTTTTATAATTTATTATAATTATAATTATTATTTAAATTTATTTTATTTTATTTTAACAAAAATTAATTATTTTTTAGTATCCATAATAAAAAATATTTATAATAATTTTGAATTTATTTAATAAACGTAATATGTGTACATTAAAAGTGCCAAATTTGATAGCTTCCTTCAATACTTATAATATATATTAATAAAATATTATTAATAATAGCATAAAATTGGCTAAAAAATTATATTCAATCTTAAAATTGTAAACGGATAAATGTGAATAAATAATTTTTTATTAGTCCCAAAGCTTCGTAATTATCCGATTTTGACTCATATTGGAGATAAGAACTAGAATAAAATAAGTAAAGTAAACAAAATTAAATGTGATTTATAAACATTTTGTGCCTTTAAAATATTTAAAATTTTTATTTATACTTTATACAATCAATGAATCATATCACAACTCTCTATTATATAAAAATAAACCATTTTATGTTATTTTTATATGTATATTTGCCATTCCCCGTGAATATATAATAACACAAATGTTTTAAGAACCAATCATAAAATTCTATTTTTTTGAAATAACTTGTACTGTTAAAATGAGCAAGTAATAAAATAAAAATAGACTATATAAAATTTATTTAGTAGAGTCTCAGAAAACAATTTACTGAATTATGTCGAAAGTTCTCTTCTTAAATTATATGCGGTTTGGCAAGAAATTGGATTTGAAGAAGGTGTGATAGAAGATCGATCATCTCAGGTTTTCAAGCATTTTAAAGTCATACTAGATCGAATGATCGTAGAAGAAGGACAGTTGAAAGAGCACTACAAAAATAAATCTCAAGAGTTAACTAAAAAGATCTCAAAGCTCTGTCTTTTATTAGGGCATGAGCCATTTAAAGTTATTAGTTTATTTATTAATATTATCATCAACAACTTATATTTTAGCTTGAATGCAATCTTAATCTTATAGAAATGAATGATAATTTATCTTTAAAATTTGAAAAATTGTGCACAGAAAAAGCTACAAGATTAGAAGAGGTTATTGAATTGAAAAAACATGAAGAAAAATTATGTAAATGTATGGATATTAAGCCACATAAATTAGTTCACGAGATTCCTACAAAAGAAGAATTGCAAGAATTTAAAATTTTTATTAAAAAAATGGAAGATGAGAAAGTTAATCTTATATTATAATAATTTTATATTATATTTTTATATTTAGAGTACACGCATTTCTACATTTAATATTTTAAAACAATCCATTCTTGAATTGTATAAAATTTTGGAATATTCACCAAGTGATCCATTAGAAAAGCAAATCAAAGATGTGGAAGTTGAAAATTTTATATTAAGCTTAGCAAATATTAAAGATTTGAATGATATTCTAGAAAATGTAACAAATTAAACTTATATATCTAAAAGAATATATTATAGCTAAAATTTCAAAAAATTGAAAGAGAAACAAAATTATCTACAATAGTTGAAAAATTAAAAGAATTATGGCAGAGATTGGACATTAGTGCCAATCATCAAAACATTTTTTTAGCCAAATATAATAATATCAAACTAACAACTTACAAAGAGGTTATTTTTGAATTTTAATGTTTTATTTATTAAAATATTAATTTTCTAACTTATACTGATGTTTTCAAATTTATATAATTATCAGAGACCTGCAGAGGTACCATTTGCACGGCCTGACCAGGATTAAAAAATTGGGGGGCCTGGCCCAGCCAGGATTTAAAAAAAACAGGCCTGGCTCAGAATTTTTTAAAATTATATTCAACCTGGTATATACAAAAAATTTATCTATTTGGTATTTTATCATATTTTTCGGTGAGTATTATTATTTAATAAGCCAGCATATTATTTGGCTAATGTTAAATGGCTCGTTTTGAGCCGATTATTAAAAATGCCTAACTCAATATTTTGGCCAGAAAAATATTGACTAAGCCTCAAAATTTCGATACTATATGTCAAGACCTTTGCTCCTTCTATGAGCAAGATTTTCAGACTTGCATAATATTTTTCTGGATAAAAAACTGAGTTAGCCGGTTTTAAAAATTGGCTCAAAACGAGCCGTTTAACAACACTACTACATATTTTATTTATTTTTATTCTAAACAGATATTTAGTATATTACAAAGATTCTATAAAAAATTTGTATAACTAATATTTTGAGAATATACTATATTAATTGTATTTATAAAAAAAAAAATTTTAATTAATAAAAAATATAACATATATTATATAATAATCTATTTAATCCTTTGCATATCTATTTTCATGGCAGGAAAACTATAATTATATTATGTAATAGATACTATGAGTGTTAGCTAGTGTCAACTTTCACTCAACATTATATTAATCATAACTATATATAATCATTATAACCATATCTAATTGACAAATATAATAATTCATGTTGTATAAATTTTTAAAAAAATACAGCCCAGCCCGGGTATTTTAAAAAAAAATTTTTCAGGCTTGGCCTGTCCCAGGTATATTTTAAAAATTTAAAATGCGCCCCGGCTCTGGTACCCTTGCTGGGCTTAGGGCCGGGCCTGCAGATCTCTGATAATTAAAGTGCAACTTAATTGAGAGTTTTTGAAAAAGAGCAAACCAGCTTGTTATAAATTATTTTCAATTTGCACACCATCTGAAATGTATGTGTGCATTTTGTATTATGAAACACACACTCAATTTGGTTGCACTATTAGGGCTATGCCAATATCATATATTGGATCAGAACCAATATTTTCAAAAAAACTTATATTCTCAGTTTAATTTGTATTATTTAAATTTTGAAAGAAATATTAAGTTACATTCAGCCATAAACATTGCTCATATTTTAAATAAGATGATTAATTTTTGGGGGAAAAAAAACAAAATAGTTAATCATGAAATTTCAAAATGTATCTTGTTTTGCCCTTTTATTTAATTATTTTTTTTGCCTAGAAAATATTGAGTTTTTTATGATAATGGTTTAAAGACGTGAAAATTAATTTAAATGTGCTAAATATTTTTTATAGGCTGGATCAAAATATAATTTTTTTTTTACTAAGCTTAGAATTAGGCAAATTTATGTAGTTAGACTGGGCACAAAATTTGCAAGCTGAGCTAAAAAAACCTTTTATGGAAAGCTCCAATATATATTATAATAAATGGCATAAATTTTGACCATATTTTTTAATACCTACAATATTTTTTAAATAATAATAATTTAAAAGTTAGAATAATAACGATTTTTGATTTTATGTTTTAGATTGAAAATGAATATGATAAATGTCGAGCTACCTTAAATTCCAACCTTGAACTCTACATCGAAAAATTAAGATGGGAGTTAAAAGAATTATGGGAAGAATGTTATGTGCAAGAGGAAGCAAAGGCATCTTTCCCTCATTTTTATTCAAGTTTTATTTTTAATAAATTATATTTTAGAGTAAGGACCTGAAATGAACTTAATAATTAATAAATTAGATAATGATATTCTGAATTGAAACCCAACCTGCATTATTATTATTTTTAAACGATAATAAAAGGTTGTGATAGAGTCCCTTCCTTATAAATAGGGTTTTGTGAATTTCACAGATAGGACTGAACCAACTAAAGATTTACTAAAACTAGATTTATGACTGTTTTTGAAAATCTTTTGGTAATTAGTCCACCAAAATTAATTTTTGCTAAGTTTGTTAATCCTCATAAAGTTCCTCAGGGGACCACAATTTGGAACGTTAAAATTGAGAAACATAGTTTACTCAAAAAATAATTTTTTGTAAATATAAATTTATAATTATCAAATTTTTTTCTTGTATTTTATTCTTGAATTACTGTTAAAAACTTTTACTATCTTATTATAATAGAAAATATTTCGAAATTTATTAAAATTCCAAATGAATTGTTGATTAATATTCATTTCTTATTATTGTTCATTAATTCATGTGTCCATGGCTAGCCTATGATTTGATAAATGATGAGACTTCCAAATTGATAGAGGTTTGAATGAATCATGATAACATCCACTATAAACCACATAATCTTTTTTTGTCATTTTCCTTCTGAAAAAAATTGGAAAACATTTATTTGCAAGAAATATAAGTGCTGCATTCTCACGAGAACAATTATTTGGAGAGAACAGATCTATATTTACTAGTGCTGTAAACGTTACTTCAAAAAAGAAACTCCTTACGTTTGAAAAAAGGAACGCATTACTCTCTATTCAAAAAAGTAACGTCTTACTCGTGACATAAAAATTCCTTATTTTTCCCCCATATAAAAAAAATTATACAAATAATTTTTAAGATTCTATTTTCCATTCATAAAAGGAAAAGTTCCAAAGGCGTAAAGTACGATAAAAATAGGAAAAGTGTCAATCAATAATGGAAAAGTCTGAAAAGAAAAGGAAAATCGTTATTTTTTTAAAAAAATTTTTTTGTCAATTTTCTTAAATTTTTAGTTTTATTTTTCCTTCTCGTTTTATTTCTAACTTTTTGCAATCTCTTTAAAGTCATTTATCTTTATTTTTCTTTATCATTTCTCAATTTTTTTTCTTCTCATTTTTGATCATTCTTTTTTGCTTTTAAAAATAATTTATTAATTTCCCTTTCATTTTTCTTCACTTCTCTATTTTAATGTTATTTTCAATTCTTTCCTTTTTTTCATCCTACATAACAATTTTTTGACTTTTTAGTATTTTTTTCTCCTTATATTTTTAGTTTTTAAATTTCACTCTTTTTGTTTATCTTAGGCAAATTAAATTTTTTTACTAATATTTTTTGGCTCTAATAATTGACGCGTTAAAAGGATATTATCATGAATATAGCATCATTTTTTAAAATAAGCTATAAAACTGTGACAAATATAAAATATTCCTGTTGTAGTTTTGTATTATTATGATATATATTTGTACATATATATATTATAAAATGTCAATCAAAAAGAATATATTTTATTTATTAGTTATTTTATCGAGAATTGATATTCAAACACTTGGTATTTTTTTTGTTTACTTTTTGACTTTTGAAAAATATATTATAGGAGATTGATTTTTGATGTAATTTTTGATAATCAGTTGGTGATTTTTTATAAAATGGAGATGTAAAATTTAATTGATATTAAATCGCGAATAAATTGAATATGATTATGAAATATAATTATGATTATTATTATAAAATCTTGAAATGAAAAATATATGATTAAGAATAAAGAAAGTCATGGAAAATATTATTTAAATTCGTGGAAATTAATATTTTACATATAAAATATTGGTGCAGTGGTACCAGGATTCGTTAACACTTATTAGGGAAAAAATAAGTTTGAGAAAAATATAAAAATTGAAAAATTTAGAGAAAAAAATAAAACAAGAGAGTTTTATAAAAAATAAATTTCAGACGTTATTAATCAAGAAAAATATTTTCTAGGACCGGGTTCCTAAAAACATTAGTGGATTCCGGATATTTAAAGGTAAGAAATTTATTTTTATATTATAAATTACACAACGCAATAGTAGGATTTTTGGATTAAAATTAGAAATATATAAGATAAAATTTTAAATTTTGGATTAATGAAAAAATGGCTTTTTATTTTAATGATAATTATAATAAGCATAATATTAATAAAATGTCAAATTTTAATAAAATTTTAATTCAAATTTTAATAAAATTTTAATTCAAATTTTAATAAAATTTTAATTCAAATTTTAATAAAGTGGATATGACCAATAATGTCATTACTGCATTAATTTTTTTTGTGTTTTATGTAATCTTAATTATAATGAAACAATTAATAAGGAAAATAAAAAGAAGATCTCTTAAAAATAGAGAAAGTGATATAAAAAATACAAATACTGAAAATATAATTCCTAAAGTTTTGGTGAAATCTTCAGATATTAATGAAGATATAAAAAATAGTTTACATTTAATTTTGTTAGAATTAAAAAATTTAAATGTTAAAAAAAATGATAAAAATTTAGATACGGGTGACGTATTAAAATTTCTTCAAAACATTGAAATATCGGAGGATATCAATAAAAAAAATAGATTCAATTGTGATTGAATTTAAAGAGAAAATTTCTGAAATTTTGAGTAAAAAGCCAGAAGAAATTTTGAAAAATAATAAAACAGATAATACTTTGAGACAAAGTATCGACGAATCTATAATTTTACGTGAAATTAGAGAAATGAAAGAAAATATGAAAAATTTGTCCAGAGAAGTTTCCAACTTAAAAATCAAAAGTAATAATGTGATTGAAAGTTGTGAACTTTGTGGAAAAAAAGGACATATAAGTAAAAATTGTTATTCAAGAGTACGAAAAACTAATGAAAATGTGACTGCAAAACCAAGTGAAAAAAATGACATAGTGTGTCATAGATGTGGTTTTGTAGGACATATAAAAAGAAATTGCATGGTGAAAGAAGCCAATTTTAAAAGTGGATTTCCGCAAAGAACCTCGGTAGTGTTACAACCGGTGGTTAGAAATATACAAAATCCTATTATTAAAAATGTGGATAAAATTGAAAATTATAATACAGATCATGATAGAATGTGTTTCAAATGTGAAGAAATGGGACATATTGCTATACATTGTATTCAAAGTGTGAGTGGGTCACAGTGACTAAATGATTTGAAAGAGAATCATATAAAAATAGATAAATTATTTTTTGAAAATATTAATTTTTTGATATATATAATTTTATTAAAAATTTTGTGGATATAAATATTAAAATAGATAATCATCATGGGAATGAAGATTATACATTGAAATTTAACTTGAATAAAAAGAGTTGTAATGTTGGGAATTTTTATGGTCATTTCGATGAAATAAAAAAATTTAAATTAACCAATAATCTGAATAAAAAGGATTATTGTAATCAAATGAGTGATATATATCCAAGGGAAATTTTAAATAAAACATAAATGAGATTCAGAGACCTTTAAATTCTGAGATGAATTTAGGTATGAATATTAATTGTATTGAAAAAGAGATTAAAATAAATATCATTCAACCGATTAAATTGCCTAAAATTTTAATAACTGAGAGAGCAAAGGAACAGAGTTCATGTCCTCAATGTGATGATATCGTTTATAGTTTTAATAGTTATAATTATAAATTAAAATATTTTTTTTTATTTATCGGCATATCTTCATATTTTTTTTTGTAACATAAAAAATATGATTGTAGCGGCATATTATATATATTGTAATTTTGTATTTTTGTTATATGAAATGTCTTAGTATGTTTTTTTTGTGGTTCATATTATTTTCTTAATGATATAACGAAAATATATATGTAATTTTAATAGTGATAATTATAAATTATTTTTTATCCCTATTTGTATTCTTTTATTTTGTTTGTAGTCAATTATTTGTTTTATAATTGAACATTAAGAAAAAGAAAATAATTATAAAGGATTGTTGAATCCAAATTTATATGTATTATAAAACAAACAAAATATATTAATTATTATAATACATATGTCGAAAGAAGACAATTTAATAGTAAAAGGCGATGATATTCAAAGATAAGATTCGATAAATGACAAGGAAATAATCAATGTCCTTAAGAATGATAATTATATGGTATCTGGGTTTTTGAAGGGTGGGCGTGTTGTAGTTTTGTATTATGATATATATTTGTACATATATATATTATAAAATGTCAATCAAAAAGAATATATATTAGTTATTTTATCGAGAATTGATATTCAAACACTTGGTATTTTTTTTGTTTACTTTTTGACTTTTGAAAAATATATTATAGGAGATTGATTTTTGATGTAATTTTTTATAATCAGTTGGTGATTTTTTATAAAATGGAGATGCAAAATTTAATTGATATTAAATCGCGAATAAATTGAATATGATTATGATTATTATTATAAAATCTTGAAATGAAAAATATATGATTAAGAATAAAGAAAGTCATGGAAAATATTATTTAAATTCGTGGAAATTAATATTTTACATATAAAATAATTCCCATCTCAAAAATGGAATAAAGTATAGTTTGTCCAAAGGAGGCTCACATGCATGCACTTAAATCGAGCACAGGATGAATATATTTTAAGTTGAATAAATTTGGATTGCACTTTATGCTTAAAAATATTATGTGAAATGATTAAAGAGAGATATGATGTAGAAATTCAAAAAATTATTAAGGGTACTCTGGATTTAAATATAGTTTTAAAAGGGTATCACTACATTCAGTTATTGAAAATAGAATCAAATATCGAAATTCGCAAAGAATATTCAAATGGATTTGTGGATATAGCCTATGTGAAAGAAAATGTTGTTTTTATCTATGAGGGAGGTTTTTCAAAGTCAATGAGACGGTTTATGTGGATATGCACAAATAAATAAAAGGCTAATAAAAATGTCCAAGGGATAGAGACAATGAATTACATTGCTGCTCTCAAACTATTGCCGTAATATTCAGATTCGAGATTCTTGATGGCCCCTGCAATGCTATACACTTTAGCCACTGTGTAAATGAAATCCTAAATAATTGAGGAAAGTAATATGATGAATATGATTTTTGTGTTGGATAATATTCCATTTCATCATAACCATACAATTATGGAATCGATAGAATGGAGAGGGCATACAATGAAATATTTACCACTATACAGATATGTGTTTTCTCAATGGAAGATTTTGTCAGAAATCAAAATCCTAATAACCAGAAGGAATTAATTCGTTTTATAGAGCATGGAGAGAGAGGAATATCTGAGTAAAATGCAAAGAATTATTTTAAAAATATGGAGGCCTATATTCCAAAATGTAGAAGAGGAGACATTATTAATAATGATTAATATAAATTTTGTTTCTTACTATATATACCTCGTGTTTGTAATGAAATAATTTTACATGCAAAAAATATTAATAAAAAAACTGCCCAAGAGAAATAAAAATCTCAAAATTATAAGGGAAAAAAGTCAAAAAATTGTAAAATAAAGATTAAAAATGACTTAAAGCGATCACAAAAAGTTAGATATAAAATAAGAATGAAAAATAAAAAAAACTAAAAATTTAAGAAAATTGACAATAAAAAAAATTATTTGTAGTCTTTTTTAAATTTTTTTTGAAAACATCAACTGGCTCAGAGGATGGGAGGGTTGTATTATATTTAATAAATAAAATTTTAATTGGCAGAATTTATTAAAACGTTTAAAGAATGATCCTATATTTCGAAAAACCTATTAAATCATATTTTCGCAAGACTTTATTCAAATATCTTTATCTAAATTTATATTTTTGCCTTCTTATATTTTTTTAGAATTGAGCTGCTCGACACCGAGGTTTAAATATTTGAATTAAGACACAATCTATTCTTGCAAAGTGTGGACTTAATACCCTTAATTTTTTTTATTGGCAAGACTTTATTCAAATATCTTTATCTAAATTTATATTTTTGCCTTCTTATATTTTTTTAGAATTGAGCTGCTAGACACTGAGGTTTAAATATTTGAATTGTTTCATACTGGGGTCGGGACAAGATTAAATCATTTTCTTTATAAAATAAATTATAAAATTAAAGCTCCATGATTGATCGGTATTAATTAGATTAACATTCTTGACACATAAATAAAATTAAAATGAGAAACTTTGGTGGTTGATCTGATTTAAAAATTCGGTATAAATTATTTTTAAAATTTTAAAAATATAATATGTAATAAAATAAAAAATATTTTTTTTAACAAAAAATTTTAAGTAACGTTTTGCTTTACCGTTACTCAAGAAAAAGGCGTTACTCGTTACCTTTTAAAATAAGTATCGAAGACGTTCCATTTTCTAAAAAAAAGAAATCGATTTATTATTGTATTGAGTATTTAAAAATTTTAAACAATTGTAATTTTTGTTATCCTTTATACCATGGGTAAATTAGATTTTTAAGGGGCCGGGATTTTGGTTCTAATGAATTAAAAAGACTTTCCTTTTTGAGTTCAATTGTTATTATTGATTTGATTTCGTCTGGTTCTTTCCTTATTCGTAGTTGGTCGGAATGTTTTAATACGGTTTTGTACGTTTATTTTTTTCTTCTTCCCTTTTCCAGGATTGTGATGGCGATTCTAGTTTTTCGACATCTTTATTGTTCCATTTTCGCTTGTTATCCCTGTAGATCTATTTTTTGCGATTAATTCTTCAAACGTTGGTAGAATTATTCTCCACATAATCGTAGTTCACCTGAAGTTTTACGTACCACTACCATTGGAGTACTCCAGGTTACTCTATATAGTTTGTCAATATTCACGTTACCATTATCATTATATTGTTGATCATGTTAATTTCTATATATATTGGTAACGATAAGTCAAATTCTATAATCCCTGGAAATCCAAATAGGCTGTGTCAAATTCTATAATCCCCGGAAATCCAAATAGGCTGTATCAATCATTTAGTGCCCTTTATATCATAAATTCTATAATCCATGGAAATCTAAATAGGCTGCATCAATCATTTTGATAGTGCCCTTTATCATTATCAAATTCTATAATCCATGGAAATCTAAATAGGCTGCATCAATCATTTTGATAGTGCCCTTTATCCTTATTATAAATTCTATAATTCATGGAAATCCAAATAGGCTGTATCAATCATTTTGATAGTGCCCTTTATATCAAAAATTCTATAATCCATGGAAATCTAAATAGGCTGCATCTCCTTTTGTTAGTGCCCTTTATTATTATCATAAATTCTATAATTTTGTTTAAGTTTTAACGGTTGGTCTTCGTCTTTAGTATATGGGTATCGTAAACATAGTTCTCCGGCGATTAATTGATCGCGAATTCTTAGTTCTACGTTATCTTCAAATTCGCATCTGAGCTAGCTCCTTTATACATATATAAATTAGTGTTGTTAAACGGCTCGTTTTGAGCCGATTTTTAAAAATGGCTAACTCAATATTTCATCCAGAAAAATACCACGCAAGCCTGAAGATTTAGCTCATAGAAGGAACAAAGATCTAGAAATATATTAACGAAATCTCGAGGCTTCGGCAATATTTTTCTGGCTAAAATATTGAGTTAGCCGTTTTAAAAAATCGGCTCAAAACGAGCCATTTAACAACACTAATATATATCTCATTAAGGATTCAGTAGGGCCGCGACTTAATCTAATGAAATCAATTGCTCCTCTATCAATAGAAAATTTTGAGGATATTTTATGTGTCTATAGTCGTCAGTAGCCCATTTATCTCATTCATCTTTTATCCATAATTGCTAAATCAATTTATTTATTTATTTTTTAACAAAAAAAAAATTATAATTCTATATAATATTTAACTTGACCGAAAACCGTACGACCTTTTTCCTTGTCGCCAAATATTAAATCGATTAAAGTTTAAAAAACGATAATGAAATTTATTTGTAATTCTTTTGGTATATATACATTTATATAATTATCCAATTTAACTTCTAATAATATGCAATTTGATTAACCTCGATAATATAATAGTACATGTCGGAAAGTTATAATATATACAAATAACGTCCTTTTAAAATATATAACGTCACCTTTTAAAATATATCTTAACCTTTACAATAATAAATATTCAGATGTAACAGACTTAAGCCACAATGCATTTGACAAAAAATTGCTATTTAGCTAATACCATTAAATTTTAAATCATAAATAAAGACAGTAGTGGAATATTCACTTATGCATATAAATAGATATATCTTTATATTTGGATATTCTAAATTAACAAATATATTTATTTTGTCTTATAAAAGCGGAATATTGTGATACCCTAATTGAACTTCACGAGCAAGAGATACAAAAATGGAAAAAATATGCAATAGACACTCGCAATATTAGAGAACTGATACAAGAAAGAAATGATCTTTGGGATAGAATGATTCATATGGAAGTCATTTTTTTTAAAAAAAATTGCCTTTAGAAAAAAATTTATTTAAATTAAATATATATTTTGGTAGTTTATAATAACTAATAAATAGTTTAATTTTATAATCCTGAATCACTCTCATTAAATTATACATAATTGGAATAAACAATTTATTTTTAAGAAAAAAAAGTATTTAATAAGTTGTGAGTAGTATTATTAAACGGCTATATTTTAGCCGATTTTTAAAAATGGGCAACTCAATTATTTAGAATATTTTAGTCAGAAAATTATTACCTAAGCCTCGAGATTTCGCCAATAGATATTCTAACCTTTGTATAATCTGGGAGCAAAATCTTCAGGCTTGCGTAATATTTTTATAGATAAAATATTGAGTTTTCCTTTTTAAAATAATCGGCTCAAATCTAGCCTTTTAACAGCACTCGTTATAAGTTCCATATAACAAAATTTAATTTAAGTTTTTTTTCCTAAAATATATATATTTAAAATATAGCATCAAGCAAAAGATATTAACAGGTTTAAAAATAGGGGAGGGAATTTGTTGCAAGAAGAAAAGGAACGCAAAAGAGTAGCCATCAAATTGCCAAAAGTAATTTTTGATTCAATTTTAAACTATTTTTTTAAATAAAAATTTAAGTTTTGGATTAATCCAAAGTCTATAAACAATGAATCGAATAATTTTAAGTAACATTGAATACTACTGGACTCTATTTTTTTTAAATGCACTAGTTCATTCATTTTAAAGAGTTGCTTGATCGCGTAACTTTGGCCACTTCAATGTGGCTTGACTAAGCAATTTTTAGTCCAAAAAATTGACTTAAGACTTTAAGCCTCAAGACTAGCAGACTAATTTTTTTAGAATATAAAATTTGATTATGACGTTTTGGAGTTGGACTAAGTAAGGTGATTTAAACAACATTACATGCAGGCTAAATAACAAATTAAGAGCCATATTTTATGCAACCATTAAATTATTCGTTTTCTTTTTCCTCTTCTTTCAAATAGTTGGAATATCAGATAAACAGCATCATAAACGAATGGGGGAAAACTCACTCGAAAACATTTTTGTACCACGATACTACTTTCCTGGATTTCATACAACAACAATGGGCTCAGTACTATTATCACAAAGAGCAGGAAAAGGAAAATAGGGTTTATTTTTAGTAACAGTTTTTAATATTATTTAATTATGGTTCTCACCCATATCAAAAAGTTATTTTATTTTTTATTACTTTGTAAGCAGTAATTTATTATGGTCTTTTTCTTTTAAATTTTTTTAACACATGAGCATTTTGATACATTAACACCTTACAATGTTTTTTTTTAAAAAATGATAGCATATTTCTTATTGTTTTTTTTGAAATTTTAAAATATTTGAAATTTGTAAATCCGAATTAATATTAGATTAAACTTTGCAATAACTTACTTTTTTATTGTTTAACTTTTGCAATAGATCAAAGCTAAGAAAGAAGCAACGAAACTAGAAATGACTTATGGTACGAAATCAGTTACCCCCTATAGTAGTTCTAAAATGGGTAGTAGATTGAACAATATGTACGGTAGCAGTTATGTTAATAGCTTCTTACTCGGTACTTCTAATATGAGCAAGATCAAAAAGGTTAATTCATAACATTTATAATCTTTTTCGATTACATTAAATCCCAACTTATAGCATTATTATTATTCCTGTGGCAAAAAAAAAATTACTTGTTAGTTTTATTGACTTGCTGTGAATAATTAGGGCCTTTTTTCTCGACGAAAAAAACAAGCGAAAAATGACGTTGTTTTTTTTAATGTTTTACCGAATTTTATTTTAATTATTTCTTACAATCTTTGAAAATATAATTTACTTATTTTATTGCAAATTTTTCCTTAAAATGCAATCATTTTAAATATAAATTACCAATATTTTATAGTAAATTTTTATTATCGCAATTATTCATAATTCGCTCATTGTTAAATTTGAATTGTGAAAAATATATTTTTTTAAAAATTTTGCAAAGATAGATTTAAGCTTATTTTTTTACATCCCTACAATACAATACATAACCTTTTATTTTATTAATTAAAAGTTTTCTACTACCAATCTCAATTCTTCCAATTACAAATTTCAGCACAGCAGTCTCAAGAATTTACAGAATAGGCAAGTTATTAATCGTTACAAAAAACGTTCCTCGCGTATATTAAGGGTAATTAAATTTATTTTTATTTCGATATTTTATTTAAAAAAATTATATTAATCCTATTAAACTAAAATTAACTCATTAATCTACCATTTAACCTCTCTCTCCAAAAAAAGGGACACAACAATCCTAGAATATCAAAAAAGTTAGCCGAACAGAAAATGTCTAAACCATCTGGCATGAGTACTCCTTGTTCGAGAATGGATAATGATGCCTATTTACATGGCATAACGGCTTCGGCGCCGCCTAAGGACAAAAATTTTGTACCTAACAAACTATTTGAAAACAGTGTTTCGACTGTCCATCAACAGTTTTTAACCACTAACTATAGAACTAATCTCGGAATTTCGCCACTAGTTAATTCAACTAACAAAGTTTTTTTTTCTCCCTAATTTATAATTTTTTTCCTTATTAATGCTTCTAATATATATAATATCATATCAATGGCATCGCTAGCTTCTATTATTTTTAGAGCTGCGCCGATTTTTTGCCGATATTAAAATGGACCTGGTTATAAAATGTATATGTTTTAAAATTGGCACAAGATTGATAAATATATACATAACTATCTTGGAATGTTAATAACACTTCAAAGAAGGAGGTTGGTAAGCGGCAAATAAAATCAGTCAATGTTTTAGATCAGCAAAACCGATCTGATTTTGAACAAATTTTAAATCGTGCAATTTCTAAGCGCTTCTTTAAAATAATTTTGTTTTATAACAAGTTGTGATGTTATAATGGATATTTTATGATGTTTATGCATAAAAAATTAAGCTGCCGATCTCGTATTATACACTTTTATAGTTTAGTCATTTCAATATCGGCAAAAATATCGGTACGGCCCTAATTATTTTAGGCCTATTGCTCAAAGAAAACGTTTCATAATTTTAATTAAATTTAGGTATTCTGAGCATCCTTTTTGCCCCATCCTAGCGATGCTTTATAAAATAGGAGTAATCTTTCGATAACATTAATACATTACATTTTTTATAGAGTAATATGGAAATTTATAATTTTTTAGATATTTCGATAAACTTTAATTTTGTAAATAAATTATTTTAAGAATCTATAAAATTCTGGTAATTAAAAAAAACCATAATATAGCTATTAAAATTATTTTTTTCCTGCTATGTCAATGGATTCTCACAATTTTTATAATATTGGCAAAATTTTTTGGCGCTTTTTATAATTAACCATAAAAAAGTTTATAATTAGTAGAAGTATTTTTTTTTACAAGATTGATATTTATTATATTTTTATATTATTAAAAAACAGGTCGTATAAAAAAAACAATTTTTAAAAAATTACATTTAAAACAAATGTACAAAAATTAAATTTAAAAAAAAAACTAAGTGATCGGTATATTGCATTGCTATATGGAACCATGAATAGCAATGCAATTACTTTTACGATTAGCCATCGTAATGGCTTGTTTGAAATAGAAGGCTTCATTACGATCGCCATTTATTTGGCATAATTTTTGTTTTATTAGAATTGCTTGACAAAGATAACAAAATTACTGTTATCGAAATTTCCCAAAATATATACATTTATGAATTTCCATATTACCCCATATAAAAAAAGCCTAAGTGTCACTGAAACTAATGTTCATTAAGTCTAAACTAAACATTTAAATCCAACTTAATTTATTAACCAATTGAAACCTTTCATACTTATAAAATTTAAACTTATTCCTTTTATAATATAATATTAATAAAATCTTATGTTTTTTATAATTTTATACCCTTTTTTTTAAATTTAAAAAAAAGAATTAATTCATTTATAATTTTAAATCGTGATAGAAAAAGTCTCCATTCTCTAAAAAAATTCAGCTACTTGATTCTCCAGAAAGGCGCTTGGCACCTGTAACCCATACCATCCCTCGTAAAAAATTGTTCACTGGCCCATCTCCTTATCAATCTAGCAAGGCCTTGAATAGTCAAACAAAACTATTGCTTAATACTAATTGTAAGAGTGCAAAAAAGGATGAAACTAAAGGATTGCTTAAATTGAAACATATGGGTGGTAAAGAAAATTATGATAAAGATCATGTGCAAAGGAAAGTTGAGAGGCTTGCAAAAAGTCGCAAGGAAATGACTCAGATTCAAGAGAACAATACCATGACAGAATCTTACACCAATTTCACGGTTTGATCGAAAAAAAATCTTATAAGAAATTTTATTACTTTTTTTGAAAGAATGAAAAATTAGGAATTGATGCTTACTTAGTTATCAGATATAAAACATGATACCTTGATTATTATTATATTTCAGCATTACCTTTTTTTTTAGCATACCTAACTTTTTAATATATTTTATTAGAGCGGTCTAGATAAAAAAGAAGCTCCTTTTTGCCACAGCAGTCAAATGGAAGATTTTGAAGACACAGATCCATCTTCTAAAGATACTCCGCTTTAATGACATGCTTTAAAATTTGGTCGATAGTTTTAATTCAATACTCGTTTTGTTGAAAAAGAGATTAGAATGACAAATTATGCTGAATCATTACATCATATATTTTTAATTCCTGTATTTATAACAAGAGAAAAAACTATATTTTAACATTTATATATTTAATTAGACAAAACCATATTCTCAGAATTACTGTCATTTATCTTATCCTATATTTCATTTCATATTTATATTATATAAATAAATTTTGTAACAAATACAACCAAAAATGTTTAAACTTTTTAATTATATTTAAGAATCATATTAGTGCATGTGGTGATTTTAACTGTAATAAGTGTTAATCTGGAATTCTTCTGAGATAATTAGGGATTTCTCAATTTTTAAACCATTTGCTGAGATCAATTTGAGATGTTATTTTGTCGGAAATGAGTTTTAACATGTTGGTACCTATTAGAGGTCTGCAATGGGCGGGTTTTACCCCAAACGCCTGCCCGCCCGCCAATTAAAATTTTTTTATCCTACTCTGCCGCCTTGGTTTTTTTCTAAATTTCGCCCGCTCGCCCTTTTATCTAAAAATTATTTTATTGGTTGGTTTGGCCCTTTATTATTTTATTTTAATATATTTTTTAACTGGTCATCCTGGGTAAACCTAGAAATAAATAATTATTAAACCGAATAAAATTTTAATATATTTTTAATAAATAGAGGTCTATTCTTTTCGCCAAAAATACTTTTCAAATTCACCCGCCCATTGTTTTAAAACCATTTAGCCACCCGTAGAATGGCGGATAGGCTATCATCTCATTGCAGACCTCTAGTACCTACCCTATAAAATATCTAAAATTTTGGCTATCAACTTTTTAATATTCATTTCTATATGAAATCTATATAAAAATATAATGTTTGAAAACATGTATGATATTTAAACTTTAATATCAAAAAATTTGTTCCCCAAACTTTCGAAACCTTAATGAAAAATAAATAAGCTATTTTAAATACAAAAATAAAAACATGTCCAAAATATAATCCTAGAATATTTCAATTTAACATTACAATTTTATTAAATTGTTAAAAGTTAGAATTTTTCAAAGAGATTTTGGACATAGTCTTAAGCAAATAATATTTATAATTAATTACATCATTAAAATCGAACGCATTTTATTTTCTAGTTTTTATCCAATAAATATTGATTTTAACCTCAGGAGTTAACTTCAAGATATATAATTATACTCAAATACATATAAGAGACTTGCATGCTCAGAAGGGCAAAAATTAGTATGACTTTGAAAATCTGGACGAGGTTCTAAATTTTAAAAAATCCAAGCCGTGCATGTTACAAAAAAATTTTTTGGATTATATCAATCAGTAAGAAAATCACGAGCGTTTAATATATTTACTGCTCATATTTTTCATTTGAACCAATTAACAAATAAATCAAAAATTATTCGAAATATCAATAATGTGAAATTAAAACTTTTCACCCTGACCCCTCATTTACATTAAGCGCAAATTCACGTTATTCAAAATATGCTCTATTTCTATATTCCACGCCGTGAATTCGCACCAACTGTGAATGAGGGGTTACCATTCTTACACGAAACGAATTCGTGGCATGTATATAAAATAGGCTGTATTTTTATATACTTCGCTTCGTCGCGCTAACTTTAAATGAAGGGTGAGTCTGGTGTCATTTTTTTTTCAAATTCCTGCCTGAATAGTTAAAAAAGATCATAGGAAAGAAATCTCCAATTTAAGATATTTATTTTATTCTCTATTTAATGTTATGTCATCATAACTTTTTTAAAACTTTTCTTATTTTTTAAAATTCATTTTATAATTGTGATTCAATCAGTAGGAAGATAACAGAAATATTTTTTGGGTCATCTCATGGTTGCTAGGTCTACTTTATTGATTAGTAGATTACTACATTTTTTAAAAAAAGTCGTCTACCGCACTCAAATCAGTGGCATAATTCTACCACTTTTTTTTAATTTTAAAATCTTCCATGTTTTAATTTTTCAAAATTAATATAATATAAAAAATCTGGTACTCATCCTTTTACTATTTTTCAGTCTTGGTGTTTTTTAGCTTATTGATAGAGTGGCTCTATTTTGATTAATTTTACATGTCTTTGGATTCTTTTGTTTATACCGTAAATGTTTGATTAACGCAAACGGAATTTTCATGTTAAAATTCTGAGAATTTTTTTGGCATTCACAAATTTTTTAATCATTTTTAAGATGATAAATCCTAGACGATCGTTATAATTTTAATATACATAAAGGTCTCTATTTTTCATATTTGAAGAATATCTATACATATTAAGATAAATAATTTACGTTTGATATAATAAAAAAATTAAGATTTTATGTTCCCTCCCGTTTCAGGATATGAAAAGGATAGGTCCGGCCTAAACGGGATTAGGGCAGGGCTTATCTTTTAAAATAAAGCTCGTAATATTTTTGTAATATCAGGCCATGTCGGGCTTAAATTTTTTAAATAAAATTGAAATTTTTGCAATAAACGAGGTGCCATTATTCGTAAAGGTAAAACCCTAATTAAAAATAATAATAATAATTAAATAAATTCGGGCCGGGAGGACAAATAATTTTTATTTTGGTAATTTTCGGGACAAATAATATAAAAAATAATCGGATCTGGCTGGATAAGACAAATTATTTTTTTAAAAAATCGGGTCGGGTTTTATTGGCCCGATGCAGATCACTACTTCTAATAGGGTGATTTATCAAAAAATGTAACGCACTAATCGGACTACAAAATAATTTTATATAGATAAAAATCATAAAGATTTAATTTAAAATTTTTTAAACCAGAGGCGATATCGTTTCAGCTGCATTCTGATATATCATTTGACCTTTCTGCACAATATCCTTATGCAGATTTTGCAATACTATGATTAAAATGTTTAATTTTCGTTTATAAAAAAAGATAGGATATTTTAATTTAGGAGCGGCAGAACATCTGGGTCAAAGTATCATGGCGACATCTTTGGTATTTTCTTTGATCGATTTTTTTTCGGTTCAATTCGATGGGGGTACCAACAATCGATGCAAATGGGGATACAGTTGCATTAAAGCTAAGACGATTGTTCGTTAATCATGACAAGGAGGCCGAGATTGCAACTGCGGATGGCTTCTAATCATTCATAGAGTTTGCATTTAATATTATGTTATTTATTTCCTCAATAAGTTATTATCTATATAGTACAAAAAAATAAATACTTTTAATATTCCCGAAAATAGAAAAGACTATACTGAGAGTGGAGTTGTATTTTTGGTATAATTCTTAAGAAAATGATCGCAATTCGGGATTTTTTGCATTTAATGTATAAGTAGTATCAACAAAAAATTACTCATGAAAAAAAAATTAAAATTATATAATCCTTTTTATATTGCTAAAATACTATATTACTCCATCTAGCTAATATATTTTTATCAATATATATAATTATTGGATTCATGCAATTTTTTTTCTTGCAATCAAATACACCATTTATGCTTTAATATTAATCATATATAGTCCGATAACAACATCATAAAATTTTAATCATAGACATTCAATAAACATCCTCATCCTATTCCATAATCCCCTGCAATCATTCTCGAACTTTCCTCCATCTCCAAAAACCATATCCCGATTGATGATTCTCGTATATTAATCCCCATGATAGGTAGCTAATCACTACAGTTACCCTAATTTTTTTAAATAATATATCTTAACTTAATTTGTATAATTCTAAAAACAATCATCGGATAAACGATTATCTATTTACTAATTAAACAAATATATTTCAAAATCGATAATTTATCGAAATTTTATTTTTCAAATAATTGATAGATTTCCATTCTCAATTTAATTATACCCTTAATTTTAATAATTTACAATATTTTTAAATGCAGATTATTTTTTATTATAAAAAAATTATATTGAATTGAAAATGATAAGTTATATAAATAATTCACAATGTAAGGGTGTATCATTTATTTAATTTTCTCGCAGATCCTCTCTCTTTGTCTTCTAGTACCTTTTGCTTGTAACAAGTTTTTTTTAAAATATATCTTGAATATGTAGTTACTTTGTAAAAGTTATTTTTAACAAAACTAAATTCGCAGTGTTAAATAGTCAAATTTTTAAACCCCCGTTTTCATATGTTTTTTTAAATCAATAAATATTCGTAAATGTTTCTTGATTGCACTATTACTCAATTTACATCGGTCTTCCTGTTCATTGCCTAAATTCGCTTTACGTGGCTTGAAAACGGTAAACACTGGGAAATATTATTATATTACAATTTTAATATTAATTAACCCTATTGTTTTACCTTAGATATTTATACATAATAATAAAAAATTCTTTTTTATTTTTCAAAATCAAAAAATTTTAATCAGACTTATATAAATATAAGCATTCTTTCCATCTGTAAATGGGAAAAAAGCGGGTTCGTTATGTCTAAATAGGCTAACTTAAATAAATGTCCAAAATATCAAATACATATTCCAGTGTGAGATAATACTTTAAAATTGGGGATTAACTATGCCCGACCACTCACGATATTTTTTCACCCATTTTACGATACCACTCGCGTTATTTTTTTCCCCCCACTTTTATTATACCACTCAAGGATTAAAATGCTTTTTTCCTCAAAGAATTTCATTTATAGTCTATTTAAAATTAACATGTACTTCCTTTTTTTAAATGATTGTTTATGACACATATTCATTTTTGGGTATATGAGGTAGATAGGGGGGGGGGGGGGGGGGTGTTGAATTTTCTTTAAATATTAAAATGATATTTATAAAAAACTTTCAAAATTTGGCAATGGCTGAGGGGGGTAGCACTATTTTTTGCTGAATCTCAAACTATTTTAATTTTTAATAATGATAATATAAAAAATATATAATTAAACTTATGATATACATTAAATAAGTAGAAAACTATATGTCGTAAAAAAAATTGTACCAGACAATCTATATACTTATAGTGGAAAAAGGCGTAGAATGGAATTAATTAAATATAGCATTTTTTTAATTTTATGGATTAAGTGATCTATTTATTTTTTAATTTTCAATTATTATATTTAATCATTGTTATACCAAAATGAAATATTTTATTTTCACTATATTTTAATATTTATTTAATAAATATATTTATTCATTTTAAAAAAATTATATTATATAAAACAAATTTGTAAATAAAAAAACATATATTATACGATGAAAATTTTTATATATTTAATTTTAATCATCTCAAATCTGATTACGGACACTGATGATATTTTGTAGGATTTTGTGTTCATTATATTAATCTCACGAGTCAATCAATCCCTTGTTGAATTTCTTGATTAGAATTCAAATCAACGTTCATGGTCGAATTTGAATCAACGTTCAGGCTCGAATTTGAATCAACGTTCATGATAGAATTTATATCATCCTTCATCTTAAGAAGTTGTTCAAACTTATCTTGTAATTCTTTTTCTCTTTCCTTTTGTCGGCTCACATCCTCTTGTAAAGACTAAAATACATATTTATTTTTTAAATGGTATTATAAAATTTTATTGATCAATTTAACAAGATTTCTTGTATATGGTTTAAATAATGACTAAAAATATGCTCAAGCTACAGGTGTGTGTGCTTGGCAAAAATCTGCCAATCATTAAGGCGAGAGATAATTTATCTATGCTTTCTTCAAAAGTTGAGTTACATTCTCAAAAAAAAAACCCAAAGGTTGAGGGAATAGTTTCCGGGCTAAAAATAGAGCATATTATAGTATAGCAATACTTACACTAACCATATATATACTTATTAATGCAAATATTCATTGAATTTACAACTAAATCGGCTAATTTTTTTAAAATTCATTTTATTTATCGAAACTTGAAGTCTTCTAGGTATCGCCAAATCTTCGTTTTTTTTGAGGGAGGTAAAAGTTTCTAATTCCAGGATACTATTTTCAAGCTGTTCTCCCAATTCATTTATCGAACTTGACATAGCATGAGCGCGACTCTAAAAAAAATATTTGATGAAAATTTAAACTTGCAATTGCATTACTAATAAATTAATATAGCCAATTTCTAAATTAATTATTTTTTTTAAAAAAAAAAATTACTTGATATCCAGCAAGTAGAATTTTCATTTTTTTCTCCATCTTCGCGGCCTTTTTAGCCTCTGAAGTCATAATATCTCTGTTACACTATTTTAAAAATTTTAATTATTTTTTTAAATATAGTGTTATAAAGAGTATTAATTTTTAAAAATCTGTCTATTCCCTTCCAGAGCCCTTAATTCACCTTATTTGGCCCTAGCCTAATTTTGATTATATTTTTATGTAATATTTAACAAAACAAACAAAATTAAATAAATAAAAGCTATAATAAATAGTAACTAACTATAATAGGTTAATTAAAATATAAAGGCGATATCGCATAAAACAGAGAAGAATATAAGAAAGGAAGAGTAAGTCTAGAAGCTCCTTGGAAATAAGATTAAAGCTATCTATATCGATGGATAGAGAAAAATTGAGAAAGAATCCTGTTTTATAATTATCATTTTTTTAAATAATTTTCTCCTTGATGTCTTTTATTTTTTAAAAACATTTTTTGGATGATTAAAAATATTTTTTTATATCGAATGTCTTTACCTCTAGCTTTTTTTCCAATGAGTCTATTCTCTCCTTCTTGCTAACTAAATTGGCACGAGTATACCTATTTTGAGATGGTAAGTACAAAATTTGAGCCATACACTCCTCCCAAACTTGAGTGTAAGCATCCATCGACAAGTTGCCATGACCCATGCCGGCTTTGACAATTTCAATCTCTTGTTCCAACATTAGTTTAGCCTAAATAGCATTATAATGCGAATAAAACATTTTTTGATTATATTTTTCCAAATTCATTTACTAATTAATTGCTGACTAGCATTTATTTCAACTATTGTCTGCAGAGTTGTTAAAAGATACTTTTAAATGGATCTAGATACAGATACATCGTCTAAAATAATATCTTGATACCGATATTTTAATCAAAAATATATCTAGATACAGATACAGATACAGATACCACATTTTTATATCTAGATCCTTTAACAACTCTGATTGTCTGCTTTCTAAAAACACCCCTCTATCTTATAAGATCACTTCTTTTTTTAATTAGAAAAAACTTTTCATAACCTTCTCGAAATCTTCTTTCATTATGATTTCATAAGGATGAGCTTGTAGATAGGCTAAAATGGTGGATCTCTTGCCAGCGGCTAACTGAAAAGCAGATCTGGCATCAGGAAACGGATGTTTATAGACATTAGATCGATTCGATTTCGAAGAATCAGAATTTTCGATCAAAGCTAATGTATCTTCGTTCAAAGCAGCATCTCTGTGTAACAAAATAGTCATTTCCCGCTTGATCATTTCCTCGGCCCTTTGCAAATCGTTGAGGGAAGGGTCCAAGTCTATGGGACGGAGGACTTGAGATTATAATTTAAGTGAATTATAGTGATTTAGAAAAAATATTATTATAGAAAAAAAATTATCGCCTTTGTTGGGCATTACTGCTTTTCACAATAATAATAGAATTGACACGAATTCTCTTTAAGAGTGCCTATTCTTTATCGAACAATTGATGTTCATGGCGTTATCACTTGTGCAAGAGGTCCGCATTGGGTGGGGTCTCGCCCCGCCCATCTTAGTGGGCGGATAAAAAAATTTTAAGAACGGGCAGGCGGACGGGTTAAAAAAATTTAAATCATTTAAGTAAATATTAATAAAAAATTGTTCCTATGAACTTTTTTGGGTATTAAAAATTAAAATGTTCTTTTTTGTTACCATAAAAATTTTTTCTTAAAATAAATAAACTTTTTTGTACATTTAAAACTTTGGTGGAAACGACAGGAAAGAGATTTGCCAAAACTATCAAGATTAGCAAGAAAAATATTGGCAATGCAACTAGTGCTTCTTCTGAACGAGGATAGCATTGCTGGAAGGTTTTTAGAACAAAGAAGAACTTATTAGAATCCAAAAAATGTCAATTCATTATTATTTTTGCATTAACTATAATATTAATTTTATATTTATATTATTTTCATAAATATTTTATTTGATCAAATAAATTATTCATAATTTAAATTGAATATTTTTTATGCTTAATATAGTAATTTCCCAAAAACTTTTTGTAGAGATGTAATGCTGAAATTTTTTTTTATTAGATGCTTACAAAATTGAAATAATGGCCATAATTAAATTTTATAATAGCGGGCTTGGGTTAAAAAATTTTAGACTAATGGGCGGGAGAGTGGGTAAGGAATTTTAGACTAATGGGCGGGAGAGTGGGTAAGGAATTTTAGACTAATGGGCGGGCGGGTATATTTTTTTGATAAAAATTATAAGCCGGCTGGATGGGCGGGTTAATTTTTTTAAAACATTGGGTAGGCTGGCTTAACTTGTGCAACTTAACGTGTTTTTTCTATAAAATTTGCAATTACCAATGAAGTGCATAGGAGTGGGAATATGGCAAATATGGGGTAAAATATTGCCACTATTAAATATATTATATATAAATAGGAAATTTTATGAAATGATTTTTGTAAAATTAATTTAAAATTTAGCTGTAAAAATAAATATGCGAACTTAAATTTAAAAAAAATGAACACTTAATATAGTTACCTGTCAAATTGATATCGAGTGGCCTTGGTAGGCCTCTTTTCGCTACGTTTGATAAATTTTCCAATCTTTCTTTGTCTCTTTCCGATTTTTCTCGAGTTTGTTCTTTCCTTAACTCCCTCTCCTCGTCCTGGGCATCTTTTATGGCCACTCGAAAGGGGTCAGGTTCGACGAACGATTGATTTTCGTTCACATTTTCATTTTCTTCGGGTAAAACAATTTCAAAATCGTTTTTAGGATGGGGCATGTTGGAAAGACCGACTTTCAGATTCATTTTTAGTTGAGACTGTTAAATAATATATCAATTATGTTAGAACAAGTAAGAAAATTTATGCAAACTTTTCTTTTCGATAATTTATTAAAGTTTTCAATAAGAATGTATGTAAAAAAGTTTTTTCATTTTTAATTTTAAAAAAAACCATATCATGCAAGCTAGAATCTGCTGTGGCTGTAGATATAATTGATTCGTTTCCAGGTGTCCGAGCTACGAAGCTATGAGGACCGTTATCCATAATGCTGGATGGAGTGGTCATAAAATCTATTTAAACGTGTTTTATATACTTTTTTGATAATACTTTATTTTCTACATTACATTTAAATATTCGTATACTATCGATTTCCTGCTTATTTGCCATGATCAATATAATATGCAATGATAATATTTTACCATTCCAATGGAATGGTGAGAAACAGTGAATATTTTTTACATAGCGAAAGGTGTAAGAAACTAAAAATGAGTAAAGAGAAAACAATATGAAAAAAAACTTGGATCATCCGTCATAGAACCGTCTCCAGTACGGATAGATGCCCTTAGGTTGTGTGGCAAAGTGCTGGGTGTGCCTAGGATAAGGTTGGGAGTTTTGGTGTCTTTAGCCTTGGGTAAAATTCCAGAAAAATCACTGGATATAAGAGGAGTGTTGAGACCTCCTTTCAGAGGGGTATCTACATAATTTAAAGCTAGAAGATTTTGGGCTTCCTAATGTAGTGAAAAATTGATAAATAAAAATATATATAATTTCTGTGAGGGAGAAGCATAAATTTATTCATATTTAAGGTCTAAGTTTAATATCTTCAAAAATCTTACTTTTAGAGGGTTTCATTTTTTTTCGCAGAACCAACCGCCCTTAAGTGAGTGATCACTAAATGAAATTTTACCTTTTTAAAAATGGAGAAAATTATATTAATTATTCGCCCGCCAAAAATCTTAAATATCGGAAATCTTATATTAAAAAGATTTTTAGTTCAAAAGGGTAATTCAGTAGCATTATAAAAAAAATATAAATATATATATAACTTATAGTTCAAAAGGGTAATTGGGTAATTCAGTAGCATTATATAAAAAAAATATAAATATATATATAACTTATCCCTCTATCAAAAAAAGTATACGACTCCAAATAAAAATATAATATCGTTTATCACGTGTATAAGTGGACCCAAAATAAAAATGTATACCTGCATAATGCTATCCTTGGAACTCCCCCCGTAGGGAGTCCTAGTTTTATTCTGCATTCGCTGGAGAGTTTTGAAATCAGTATTAGACCTTCCTTGAGTAGAGGAAAGTAGAATTGCAGTTGGAGCCTGACTTCCTTCCAAATTTTCGATTGAAGAGAAATTTGGGTCAGCCTCCAAGGCGATTTCCTTGGCTGCCTGGCCTATTTTACCAAGCTTTATAACCTTTATGTGAATGAAAATGTTTAATTTATATGATTTACAATAGAATATATACAAATAATCTTTCTAATCTATAAATATATCATTTTGGTATCAACTTCATATTTAAATTTCATTTTCATATCAACTACAATCATGTTAATATCAATTTTAACTTAATTTTGAACTTTAATTAAATTTAATACCTTTTAATACTTGTTTCCCACCATAATATCCCTAAAAGTTTTACAAATGCTCTAAAAATTTTAATGAATCTTTAAAAAAATTTTTTTTGGCCCCTTATAATTACTTTTTCCTTTTCATCTTGCTAATATAATCAATTTCAAAATGTGATTAAATGAGCTAGGAATAATTATGATAGTTTGTAATTATTCTAATCAGTACAAGGAAGGAAAGGGAGATATAAAATAGCGCTTCAATGTAAAATCTCTTTAATTTATCTTAATTTTCAAACCTCCTCTAGCTCCATGTCCGATACTTGTGGGGCTGGAAGCACAAGTTTACTCCTTTTTTTAACTGGTTCTTGTAGGGCGTTTTGAGCAGCCAAAAGACTAGGAAGATCATTTTCTTTCTTTTTTTGCAGCTTTTGGGCGTCCTTTTTTCTTTCTCTCTATCAAGTATATGCGTGTATGGTTTTTTAATGATAATTGTAAAATTATGAGAAATTAGATCTTTGTCGATTAAATTAAGTATATAATTTTATTGATATTCAAACTGAATACTTTTTTAAAAAATTTCCCATTTTCCATTAAAATTACAATAAATATATTAACTTATTTCAATCATAGATTCAACAAAAAAGCACTAACTTATAAAATTCCATTAAGAACATTAAATTAACCTCTTCTTTTTGAACCCTTAATTCCCCTTCCAAGTTTTGCTGCCTGAGCTTTTTAAAATCGATCTCTTCAGGTCGGAAAACATCGTTGTCAGGATCAAAAAATCCAGCAGCTGGTTTTTTTTCAAAAGGAATTTCTGCGTTGTAATCAATTTGCGGCCTAAAATTATATAGAATAGATAGCATATTCGTTTAAATTTAAAACGGTCATTCTAAAGTTATTTATTTTTTCTACAAATGGGCATTCGATATTGAAAGGTTACAATTTTAAAAGCTTTGCACAAGCATAGGTGCAATATCCTTCGATTTCTCCGAGTCTGAATTTTTTTTAGAAGTTTATTTGAAATACAGCATTATTGGGAATGTTTTAATATTAGTATTATTTGATGCATCAGTTAATAGAGAAAATGGATAATTTTCCTTCAAATCCTCTAAGATATTTCTTAGTTACAGGACCTAGGAACACTGTTTTTGAGGCTTTTGTTCTACATTTTATGCTTTTGGCTATTTTTGAATTAGGAAAGGGAATAGGCAATAGGTTTGTAGGCAATCTGTAGATAAATAACTAAGTGAATGTTTACGTGTAATAAGGTGAATGGAGTTTCAGCTATTGCAGTGTTATTATCACATAAATTATTGTTTTTGAATATGGTTGGATATTATTTGATGATTCACTTTTTTCAAAATTAGAACAAGTTTTGCCTTGTTGAATGTACTTCTAAAAAAATTATATAAAATTTTCATTACACATTTACATAAGAATCATTTTTATCATCAGAATCAGAGGAAGTAATCATTATATGATTTATCATAATTTATATTAAAATTAAAAGATTATGATAGCGCAAATTTCTAATAAAGCTATTTAATTATTTTATATTTTATAAAATTTATTTTATAAGATCGGGAGAAAGCGTAAATCAATGTAAATGAAAGTAAAAAATAGGGAAATTACGCCAAAAGCGGGAGATCTGGCAACCCTGTTTCCCTTAGTTATTTATCTACCGATTACGCTTCAAAATTATTGCCTCTGCCCTTTCCTATAACACAAAAGCTTCAAAAATAATGTTTATCTAATGTCCTATAACTAAAAAACATATCTTAGGATTTGAAGGAAAATTATCCATTTTCTCTATTAACTGATGCATCAAATAATATTAATACTAAATCATTCCCAATAATGCTGCGCTTTTCTAATAAAGAAAGAGGTTTTTCAAGTTAACTCCTAAAAAAATCAGACTAGGAGAAATTGAAGGATATTGCATCTATGCTTGTGCAAAACCTTGAAAATTGTAACCTTTATATCAAATTTAACAGCTTTTTGTGTCTATAACGCAAGTGTGAATTTCGGAAAAAGGCAAAGGGTAATGAAGGAATTATTAGTTTTGAATGAAAATATCATTCCCAATAGTTGCCTGTGCCATACAATTTATCCTTTATTATCAATAGACATAAAAATAATTGCTATGAAATATTATGCCAAATTCAGAAGATCCACAAACATGCTATCTGTTTTAAAATATATCATGGATTCTCAAGATATTGAACGGTTCGAATTTCTACGAATTGTTCCAACAAGATAGCTATCATTAATACCGGCTCTCGAAAGATTAATAAAAATTATTTAGTCGTTAATCCTAATTAAATGGAAATATTTTCGGTAATGCATAAATTCGTTAGAACTTTATAAGCCCAAGTTATCAATAACTTTTATAGCTCGGTTGTAAGATAAAATCTTATAAAATGTGATGATCATAATAAAATCGCATTATTTCAAAATGAAGCTAATTTTATTAAAACAATCATCTCGTATTTATAAAAAAAATATGAATTCACAAATCATAAATGGAAAAATCTAAGTATTATTATGCTTGAAAATAAATTTAAATTTGAGGAAGTTGAATTAATAATAATCAATTTTAATATAAAAGATATCATATTAGATGAATTTTCAGGAATTCATTGCTTAAATACATTTATAGAACAAAATAATATATCGAATTTGGCACATGAAAACAAATGGATACTTTTTTTCAAAGAACATTGTACCAAATTTTAAAAAATATGCAATATTATATTCTCGTTACCATATCCGAAAGCTGAATCATTATATCTAGTTTAATATAAAAAATTTTGGCGGAAAGATCGTAAGCGGTTATCTTTAACAGCTTTAGAAACGGAATTAATGATCAAACATCATTTTAATTATACTTAATTTTAAAATATGTAAAAAAAAATAAAATTTAATCAACAACAAAACTTTCTGAAGAATATGAATAAATGTATAGATTTTTTAAATATTAACTTTTAATTTTATACTAAAAATAATAACATATGATCTTCCTTTATTTTACTGTTACATTTACCACTTTTAAGACTCATTTTTTTGTAGGCTTAACTCGACTATTTATTTTTCTTATATTTATATTTCTTCTTATCTTTTATTTCCCAAGTAGTTTTCTTATTCTTATTTTTACTAGGCAGTTTTTTTTATTTTATTTTATAAACTTTATCTATATATTTTTTTTATTTGTATTTTTAAAATTTTATTTTTATTAATTATAACACAAAAAGTAAAAGTGAAAGTCCAACACTTATTTTTTGCGATCATTTCATATTACAAAAAAATTTCTATACAAAAATATCCACACTATAAAGCTTTTCTTTTTACAACAAACAATAGCGAAAAATAATTGCACATTAAAAAAGGATTAAAAATATGATGACCAAATTCTTGACATGCCTCTCATCCCCCCCCCTCCCGAAAATAACCTATTTTTATTCATCTGCGCTCACCAAGAGCTAAGGCCTCTTGTGCGAGATTAATTAATTCATTCGAGACGATAGAGCCCTGGTTATCAATTAGTATTCTCTTCCCTCATTCTCATCTTCCATTTGTCTGCCATGGGTACTAGAAGGAATACTCACTATTATAAGTGGTATATTTTATCAAGACTGGGATCAGTGGGTCAAACTGAGGTAATTATCCCATAGTAAAACCGAGGAATTTGAAGAAACGCAAATGTGTACCCCACTACATGGGAAGAGCTCAAGGAAATTTTTTTGAAAGATAATTTGGGGCTGTTGTCATGGTTAACGGGAAAAAAATCGTGGAAAAATAAATATAAAAAAATAGAGGGGAATTAACTAAGGTTGAAGGTTGTATAATGTGCTGGAATAGAGCGATTATTTCTCAAAAATTACGACATTATTTTGGAATTATAGCATGCTGGACATGAGGGTGTGAGACGAATGAAGCAGGGCCAGAGAACTCCTGGTGGCATGGCATGAACAGGGAAATTAAAAATTTAGATAAAGGCTGTGAAATCTTTAAATCAGTGGTCGAATATGCCACCTAAAGATAGGAGTAATACATGGCCAAAACCCTTGGATCGTATTCATACGGATTTCTTTGAACTGGAATAAAAGAAATATTTCTTGGTAGTGGACGCTTTCTCGAAATGGATAGAATTTGAAGAAGTTTATGGATTAACCACGAAAATAGTGTTGAGAATATTTTAAAAATTATAGGCCAAATTCAGCATTGCGAAAGCAATGGTTTCTCATGGAAGACCAGTATTCATCAGTGAAGGTTTTATAAATTTTTGAAAATAATCAATGTACAGCACATATTTGCTCATTCTTACCATCCTATCAAATGAACAGGCAGAGAGGATGGTATGAGAAAAGCAAAAGATATTAATGGTGAAATATGAGTTGCTACTTCCTATTATAATAACAGTATAAAAGTTGGAGGGTTAATTCCAGGGGAAAAAATTCTCAGTCCTAAAACGCGGATCTTATTATATATATTAACAGAAAGATCGGATAAAGATAAAACGAGAACAGAACAAACTGCTGAATTAGAATATGTATTTGATTTTTTTCAGGGGAGGTTTGTTAATAATTTGTTCATCATATTTTTTTATATTTTTAAACCTTGATTGTTTTTTTTAATGTACCAATATTTTTCGCTCTTGTTTGTTGTAGAAAGAAAAGTATTTTATAATGAAAATATTTTTGTATAGAAAATAAAACAAATTTGTTGGACTTTCACTTTTACTTTTTGTGTTATAATTAATAAAAATAAAATTTCAAAAGGCAAAGAAAATAAATATATAAATAAAAAGTTTATAAAAAAAATCTAAGTTAAAAAATAATAATAAAACTGCCTAGAAAAAATAAGAATAAGAAAACTACCTGGAAAATAAAAGGTAATAAGAAATATAAATATAAGAAGATAAAATAGTTTATTAAGCCTATAAAAAAGTGAGTCGCAAAAGTTTTGCATATTAGCTCTATTCATTTAAATAAAGAAATAATCACCTAAAAAAAATTAATATTTTTTGTTGTAAATAATTTTTTTTGAATTATGATTAAATTCTCCCGCTTTTTGTAATCTGGCAACCCTAATCATTATGCCAAATCGATCACTATATTTTGATGAAAAAGAGTATAGAAACTAAGCCTGTGCATTGAAGTCTCAATTGTCAGGGGCAATGTTTTTTAAATTTTCGGCCTGCCGAAATAACCAATTGGTGGCGGCATCAACACTGCTACATATTTTAGAAAATAAATTAAATTTATAATTCATTGTATTACCATTTTTTGTGGACACTTTTAGTTCCAAGATTGTTAATATAGGTTAGTTCTTTAACATAAATATGAAATGAATAATTCATTTTAGATATACTGCTAACTAAATTGGTAAATATATAATATGCTTTGCACTATCTAGAGTAATGTGTATATAAGAGAGTAAAAAAAAGTAATAAATGACCTGCGCTTCTTGAAATTCTTGAAAGCGTTGAAGCCTGATTCATTATAAGTTATGCCAGCAGCACGGAGTTCCCTCTTTTTTTGTAGTGTGGCCAGTCTTCTGGCTTCTTCCAGTTGTTTTTCGCGCGCTTTTCTTTTAGCCTTTTTACCCTGAGTATTTGCAAGTCTGGCTCTGGCTTCAGATAACATCTCGAGTTCTTAATGAAGAAATAGACTATGTTTCATGCTTAATTTAACTCTAATTATTATTATATTTTAAAAACATCCTCTCGATTGATATACTTTTCGTAAGGTATTATTTTATTTATATGTAAAAATAAAATTATTTGCTAAATGTTATGAATGATAAAACTTCATTCAAATAGGTTCTAATTCACTATGTGGACTTAGAATATTATTTCAGTTTTCAAACTGTAAAAATTTATTTCTTTTTTAAAATCCCAATAATATATTTGAAAGGTTTATGATATGACAAATATTTATATCTATGGATTGACAATCTAAGCCACACTTAACACCATTCTATCTCATTATTTATCCTTCACAATTTAATTTTCTTTATATATTTTGCATTTATCAAAAATAGGTGTATACCATCCTCATCCATATCTTTGGGATCAGGTCTAGCTGGCTTCGTTTCAGGGTTTGGGTCAATTTCACCTGGTCTCAACTTTCGAGGATCCTCTACTCCTCCTAACACACTGATTGGTTTGTCTCCTCCGTCCCCTTCCTCTTCTTGATCTTCTTTCCTTTGTGCTCTGTCTCTGTATTGTACATATGAATTTTAAAAAAAATTATTAGGGGAGGGGGTTAATGAAGGAAAGAATCAAAAGTCTCAAGGATGCAATTATCGCTAACTTATTAATTGGCTACTATTTAATAGTTCAGAATAAATATTTAATGTTCAGAATAAATATTTAATGTTCAGAAAAAAATATTGAATTCTCAGAACTATTTCTCAATGCTCAGATAAAAAAATTAATTGCAGAAAAAATACTAATTGCCAGGAATAAAACTGAAACGCTCAGATTAAAAAATGAATCGCTCTGAAATATTTTTACGTAGTATTATTGATTTTAAAAATTTGTAGGATGGAAAGAGTCAGATTAAAATATTGCAAACCACCCAGCAACAAAAGACCTACCTAGAAGAAATAAAAGAGGAAGACCAAATAAAGCTAAACTTTATATATTGACTGATCGAATTTCAGCATATATTTTATTTTATAAAATCACTGATTCATAATTAAAATTTTTATAATACATATGTTTATAATAAAAAAAATTATGAACATAAAAAATATATTTATTACTTTTGATACCCATATCTAGCTATTATTATGTCATAAAAATTAAAAATTGAGACTCTGCTGGACCTATAATGATAATTAACATAAGACTAAAATTTCTTAATTTGAGAACCATGTCAATATATTATAAACCCCATTAGGCCAGATAAATTCACCTTAAAACCTGAATGATATTTAACATATCCATCAATGCATCTTTCACACAATATCCATGTTTGAAATGTTAGTCAGCCTAAAGAAATAGTCATAAGTAAAAATAACAATATTAACAGTAGATCTTTATAATAGCTTCAAAATATTATGTTAGAATTTCTTCGCTTTGCAATTAAAGAAAATTTAACAAGGTTATAAACTTTGAAAATTAGAAATAAGTTTATTTTCAGATCCACGCCCCCCTGTCACAAAGGTTATAATCTAACATATTAATGGGAAAAGGATCATATCTAACTTAACGTAAAAAAATATTATATGGTCTGCTAAATTGGTGAATCGTAATTAATTAATATACATTAAATAAATCTGTTTCTATAAGATGTTTATGAATAGAAAATTAAAGCCCTGTTTAAAGCCTATTTTTTCAGTACTGACTTAATCCTATAATATTTTTATATAAATATGCTTATAAAATAAAATTGTAAATACTAATTTATAAAAAAAATTAGGGCTGTGTCGGATTCACATATTTTTCACCGATCCGATGGTTCAAAACCAGTCCGATATTTATATTGATTTTTCACCACCCCCCTTTGAACCAAATGTAATTAAGAAATCAATATTTTTTATGCAAAAAATCGAATTATGCATTATATTTAATTTTTTTTATTTCTAAAATTAAGACCATAATTAAAAAAAAATATTATAATTATGTAAAATAAATATACATAAAATATAATAACAAAAAAAAAGAAAAGCAGAAAGATCGGATCGGGGTTTTTTACATGTATCGGCCCGATCCGATATTTTTGGAAAACGCTAAATATCGGTGCTCTAAAAAAAAATATTATTTTTTTTGCATTGTACCTTGTAAGTACTTAGTTTATTAATTTTATATTATTAAACACAATATTTCAAAAATTTCCAAGTTCCTAGCTAATTCTAAAAAAATATCCAAATCTGGCCTAAATGAAAATTTCAACATTCTAACCTCAAACATTCCCATGAGCAATTCTTTATCAAATAATGCAAAATCATATCTTTCGATTCAAAATTTTATTAATAATCAAATCAGAAAAGAAATTTGAACTTGCTAACTTTTATATTACCTGAGATATTAAGGGATAAAGGTAACCAAAATCTTGGATTCTAATGAATAACTAAATCAATTTGAATTTTAAATTTACTATATATGACTAAATAAAGGATTGTTAATTAAGGGAAATATAACAAAGAACATTTATATATAGTCATCTTGTCAAGTAGAAAGTTTAAACGAAAATTTTTTTATGACTAAGACTTTCAATAATTGCAATTTTTTTTCAATTTATTATTAACTAATTATTTAATTTTTACTTCACTCACCGCAAACAAATATTTATCACAAATAATATTTCTAAAAAATTTATTAGTGCTATTTTTTAACAAAACATAAGTTTTTTTTATTGTTAAACATTCATGTTTTTTATCAATCCAAATGCTATTACCCATAAATCAATTTATTAAACGCGTTTTAAGTCTATTGCTGCATTAAAATATAGGGCCATCTATAATTTTTAGATATTATTTGTGTTAGATATTCATTAGCCTTGCAAGAAACATTAGGTAATCAGTTAATAAATAATAGAAAAAAAATTGTAAAAATTAGAAGTCATAGTCATTATAAAAATGTAGTCTTCAACTTTTTACTAGACATAAGATAACCATGTATAATAAATTTTCATTTTTATCTTTTCTCTTTTCTCTTTAATTAACAATCTTTCATTTAGTTATATACCAAAATATTCAAATTCATTCAATCAATAAAATTATTTAATATCCAAAAACGATTAAAATGGGTTTTTTGCATCTTTAACCCTTAATATCTTATGTAGTATAAAAACTAATAAATTCAAATTTTATTTCAACCCATTTAATCTTGATACTATTTTTTATTGGAATTGATATAGTCAGCCAAAAATATCATTCTTTTGTAATTTGACATGGAATGACCCATGGAGGGCTTTCCAATATAAATGTAAATAACAGCCAGACCATAGTCTCCTATTGTTACATTAGAAACCATAGTCTATATTTTTAATTTGACATGGAATGACTCATGGACTGATACAAATATAAATAACAGCCAGACCATGGTCTCCTGTTGTTATATTGGAAATCATAGTCTCATGTAGTCTTTAAAAACGTGACATGATTAAGAAATAAATAAATAATTTAAATAAAAAATTTCTCATTTGATTTTGAAATCAAGTTTTTATTGAATGGGAAAACAGGAATTAATTTTATGTTTTATTATCTTTAGTATGTATTTTACCCCTTTTTTAAGTCCAGTTAAAAAAATGCCTTTCATTCCCTATCTTGGGTCCTTCATGCTTCTAATTTATGTATATAACATGAATTTCATAAAAGCTTTCTATTTAATAATATTTTACAAATTTAATGGGGTATAATTTTTTATATTCATATAAATTGTTATTTTGATTAATACTTAGGAGTGAAATTAATGATGATAATAAAGAAGGTAGAAGAATCAATATATATATATAAACTACAAGGGAAATTGAATAAGCTGCTAATGATGATAAGAAATATGAGAAGGTAAAAGAATCAATATATATATAAACTACAAGGGGATTAATGTATATGGCTTACAAAAGAATTTCATAATGTTCTAAACATTGTGAAGCTGTTCTCCCTACTATAGGGGCTATAGTTCTCCATTGTGTAGGCATAAGTTTTGCTAAATGCAACAATTTTTCTTCCTCCTCTCGACTCCATTCTGTCTTCTTAATACTTGGATCAAGCCATTCATTCCTTTTAAATTATAATATAAACTTCAGTAAAGACTAAATACTAGAATATAAATTTCCTAAAAAAAGGGATAATCCTTTCTAATATTTATTGTTAAATACTTGCTAAATAATTTTAATTAAAAAAATTTATATGAATTTCATTATTTATATATATTTAAATTTTAATAAAATATTATATTGATATGCAGATGCAACTATTAGATACCATCTGGCTTTGCATTGTTTGGCGGATTTACGATGTAATAATGAAGCAATACGTGACCACTGGTTTTTGCCATATTTCATAACTGCAGCTTTAAGGATTTCATCCTGATTTGAATTATAAATTAAAGGGAAACATTATTATTCATACCTCTGTATTCCTCCAGACCCCACCTTTGATCATAACACGACCCATAATGATTTTTTGCTAAAAAGAAATTATAATAATGCTTGTTACTTTTTAGTTACGTGAATATATTAGATTATAGTTATTATCTGTTGATTGAATTCTTTCAATTAATCACATGACCAATCTGAATTGATGGATTGGTTGACATAATGAAATTGAGAATATGTTTTTAATATTTAGCATAAAATATCATTTAAATAGCAGATTTTATGCAGTTTTGGTCAAAATAAATGGTGATCAAAATAATTTCATTCTTTCAAAAAACCATAATGCTCCCAAGCATACGAAATATAAATATAAAGAAATAATAAGAAAAGATAAAAGATATATAACTAAATTAGAATATAGATATTTCGTGTAAACAATATAAAGTAAAACGATGATAACTGAAATATTTTATTTAAACATAATAAATTATTTTGAATATCTTTTTAATAAATGATAAAATATTTACAAAAAAACTAATAATTTAGTTTTGAATATCTTTTTAAATAATATAAAGTAAAATAAATGATAAAATATTTTATATACAAAAAATACTTATAATAATTATTTAACATTTTACATAAAAAGAAACATGTTTTAACCCTTCTATATTTCTCATGGAAAAAAATAAGTAAACATTCAAGGCCTGTCAGGTGTAGTTATTTATTACCAAAGACAGTTTTGAACGAATCTGTATTTTATTTTTTTTGGTTAGATTGACACTCCTACATATAATTATATACTATATATTTTAAAAATTGTTATTTTTCAAAATATCTGTGACATGCGTGCAAAGGAGTAGCCACGGGAGGGGGACCAGTATATAAGATACATTATTTATAATAATTGGTAACAGTTTCCAGATTATTTATTCAAGGTCCAAAGAAACTTTCGTTATTTCTAATCAGAGTCAAATATTTGAAAAGTGACTAGTCACTTTTGTTGCTGCATAAGGGATTTACTACATTATTTTTAATGCAATTCATAATCAGTATTCAAATATTCTATTTTTAATGTTTAAAATAATAATATATTAATTCATCTTTTTGCCTTCATATGCTTTTTAAAGTTTGAACTGCTGGACATTGAGGTTAAATATTTGCATTGGGGCATAATTTACATTTATAAAGTGTAGACTTTGTACCCTTAATTTTATTTATTGATATAAAATTATTTCAAATTGGGACCAAGAAAGGGTTAAATGGTCTTCTGAACAGTGACCCCTACAACGGGGGGGGGGGGTCCGAAGCAACTGCTTCTATAAATTTCTATGGGGGTACTTTTTTTTTAAAAAATCTTTTATTTTTTATTTTAAAATTTTAAAAAAAAATTTTTAATTTTTTATTTTAAAAATTTTTATGGTCGATGTTTAGCAAATTAGTTTGTTATCCGATATTTCTTATCATAAAATTATTTTTCCACTTTCAAGATTTGGCGCAAAATTAAAATTTTATCAAAGGGAATAGTAAAAATTTAAATATTAAATCTTATATATAATCATTTATAATTTTTAGATCATTGTCAAAATATGCCCAAAAATATTAACCAAAAAAAATATAAATGCTTGATTAAAAATTGTACATATCATAATATAAGAGATGATAAATGGACAGATCATATTAGAAAAAGACATGGTGGGCTTAATTTTCACGATATAAAGAAAAGCTTTGAAATAGTGGCTTTTAAGAATATTTCTCAAAATTGGACAAATAGCAAAATAATTTTTTTTATTAAATAAGAAGTGAGAAAAAAATTAAGGGATTAAAATCTAAATTATATTCAAATCTGTTATCATATAATGACATAAATATTCTTATTGAAACCATGAAAAATATGGTTATAAAAAAAATTCAAAAGGAGATTGAATTCAACAGGTGCTATTCAATTATAGTTGATGGCACATATGATGTATCGAAATCAGAAGCAATAGATTTGATAGTGAGATATGTTGAAAATAGCGAGACACCTAAGCCCGTTGAAAGGCTGATAGACATTTATTGTACGGGAAATACAACGGGCCTCGATATTAAAGAGAATATAATATCCAAGCCTGGCTCCATGAATCTACCCCTCGAATTCCTAGTGGGGCAAAGCTATGATGGCGCTTCAAACATGAGTGGAAGAATTAATGGAGTGCAGGCTTTGATTAGAGCGGAGTCGCCAAAGGCAGCTTTTATTTGCTGCTATTGTCATCGATTAAATTTAATAGTTGTTCAATTATGCCAGTCAGTAAAAGAGCTGCCAAATGTCTTGGGAATATTAGACGAAATTTACGTATATTTTAATGGTGTTAAAAGATATGAAGTGCTCAAAACATGTCAGAGTGATTTACTGACAAAATCACATAGATTTTTACGCATCAAGAATACCACTCGGTAATATTATCTTAATTGTTTCGATATATAATGTTTATTTTATATTTATAGAAGCTGGCTAACATCATATAAGGCGATTGTAAATTTTTTCCTACTTTATGATGCTTTGAGGGCAGCTTTGGCAAATTTAAAGGATTCTGAAGAACCTGCCACTTCCACTATGGCTAGTGCTATAGTCTATAGAATAGAAAAATTTGATTTGATTTTATCACTATGTGTTTTGGATAAAATATTGTTGATAACTAGCTTGGCTTGTACAAAATTGCAAACCATTTCGAAGGATATAGGGTTTGCAATAAATCAAATTCAATTGGCAAAAGATTGCCTGATTAATATGAGAAGTATAATTTAAATTATTATCTTTTATTATTTTATAATCCTAAAATAGATAATAACACTGAATTTTTGGATGTCTTTTCAAAGGCCCAAGATTTTATGAAGAAGAGAAATTTACCTTTTGATTTTGAAAGTTCAAGACTTCAAACATTACAATCCAAAAAGGAGAGGTGTATATATACTTTCATCATTAAATATAATATTTTATTTTAGCTTTAAAATCAGTGTGTTTTATGCTGCACTTGATTTAATTATTATGCAGTTTAGTGAAAGATTTAACGATGAATCGATAAAATTTTTGAGTCAAACATCATTTTTTACCCCAAAGGGAATGGCGAAAAAGGCAATTGTTAAAGATGATATCAAGGATATCTGTGAATTTTATCAATTAAATACAAGTCAAGTTTTTGAGGAAATGTTGATGTTTAGAAATATTTATAAAATGGCTAAAACGGGGGACGTAATTATTACTAGTGACCTAGAGGTTAAAGAAGATTTGTCAGATTCTGAGAATTGTAAATTTATTTAATTAAAATATTTTTACTAATACATTATTTAGCTTCTTCTGATGATGATAATAATTTTGAGATCAATGATTAAGACTGGAGAAACTATTCATTTATTTTACCTTATCGTCTGCTTATAAATTTTTCTGCTTTCCCAAATTTAACAATTTTATATAAATATTTATTAACTATTCTTACTATCATGTACTGCCGAAAGGGTCATGAGTAAAATTAAACTAATTAAAACAAGACTTCGTAGTGTCATGAAAGATCCATTTCTTAATAATTTAACCATTTTATCAATGGAAAATAATTTATTTAAACAATTAAATATTGATGAAATTATAAATTCTTTTGCTTTCTCTTCCCCTAATTTATCTAAATTATTAATTTAAAAATAATATTTTTAAAGCATATATTTTTTACATTATATTTATATTATAATAAATATTGATGCAATAAAAATTATTTTTGAAATTTATTGGTGTCAAAAAATAATTTACAATGGGGGGGGGGGGGGTACTTTAGGGGGGTATTCTGCTTCTATCCCTCAAAAAGTGTAGGGGTCACTGAGTATGAACTTAATATTTTTAAAATAAATTATATGATAGATATAATAATTATCATAATTTGTGTATTTTTTTATTATTATTCATTGTATTTTTATCACACGCAAATAGGCGCATTGGTTTTAGATTGTAAGACTTAGGATAACTAATATAATTTTTATTTTCAAGAATTATTTTTTGTTTATATCAATATAAAGTATAAAATATAAAGTATAAAAGAAGCCATATTAGGCAAAATAATCATTATTTTTTTTCCTTTCATTTAATTTGGATTTAATAATATTATTGACTGTATCGGATTTATTCTCAGCGGCATAATTGAAATAATTGGTGCCGTAACCTAAAAAGTAAGTTTTTATTTTTATATTTATTTAGGTGTTAATAAAAAGAGACTTAACGTTTGTTAAGGACACAGTGGTTTAGCTGTAGTATTGAAGTGTATATTTATTAAAGGCCAGCGTCTACATGAGCGGGAGGGGTAGGAACAGTTTGCATCCTATTTTTTGAGGGGGTAGGGGGTAAGCTGCTCTAATGGGGGTAGGATAAATTTTTTGGGGGGTTATCTATTAAATTTTGAGATGAAATAGGCAAAATTTATTGCTGTAAAAATTATACTTTTATTATAGTATTATTAAAATACAATTCATCGACCAAATCTATATATTGCAAACAATCATACACATTTTTTTCCAAATAAACTATCCTTTTAAATGTAATATAAAAGGTTTAGATATTTTAGCAAGCTCATAATGCTATAATAACTAATTCATTCTAAATAATGGATGATTTAATTGAATTTATTATCTAAAAAATAAATTATTTATAATCACAAAATATAGATAGTTGGTAGTAGATATAGATTAATTTGTAAATTCTTTGAAAAGAGTATCAATAAATAAATAGGTAAAAATAATGATAAAGAGACACCGCCGCCGAAGGTGGAAATTTTTTAGGGGGGTAGGCAAAGATTTTTGAAGGGAGTTTGCATCCAGTGAAAATCCTGTCATGTAGACGCTGTTAAAGGCACGGGGGTTCTATGTAGTATATATTTTATTTTGCGGAAATACGATGGAGTACCATGGTTACTGATAGTGATTGGGAAAAAATGTTATGTTGGTTAAAAAGGTGTTATATGCTGTTATCTCATTTCGGCAGGAGCGTACGCAGTGGGGGAAAGGCAGTGGGCAAATCCCCCACCCCCACCCAAATCCCAAAAAATGCAGATGCCGGATTATATTTTTCAAAAATATTACTGTTAATATTAATTTACATTTGTTAATATTTATTCCTATCTCATATATATATTTAATTATATTTATTTAACACATTCATCTACTAAGTTATTTTATCAATTAA